GGTGTTAGCCTGATAGAAAAAACCTGCTCTGATACCAATTGATAGAATTTAAGGGTCCACCGAACTATATAGAGAACCAGGTTCTCTATAAGGTCCAACAGAAACCACGCACACTGCAGTAAGTAAATGACAGGAGGAATTTTACGTGGAAAATTTCCAGCTCAACGGGATTAAAAACCGTGACCTACCCTTGTAGGATTTCAACTTCACTACTGAGCAACTTTCGGATTACAACCTATGTAATCTAGGAATTAACCTCTTAATCCCTCACTAACTTGTAACACTCTATTACAAGCCACTTTGTAATAACTTTATTACAAAGACTTTACAACTCGACTAACTCTAGCCAAGACACAAACACAAGGGTTTATGATTTACAAAGGGTTTCCTACGCAATGCTTCTAGACAAGCTAAGTAGGAATTACAATTGAGAGCTTTAACAAAGTTACAACTCAACTAAGGACATACAATCACTTGATGTAGGAACTGGTCCGTAGCCGTGTTGTTCTTTGTTCTTGATGCACTTGAGAATTGTTCACTGAAGACTTAATCACCGATGGAGTGCTTGAGTAAATTCTCTAAGTGTTCAAGTGATTTGTTTTACCTTTCTTGATGTTAGTCATACATTTGTGACATCACTAAGATGATGTAAGAAAAGTAGGTAAAAGACACTCCCCATAAAGTTGACTGCTGCACTGTTTCTGCAATGTAGCGTGTGCACGCAACAACTTTACAACTGGGGCAGTTGACTTGCGCAGTTTCCTCGGGAAATGGTAGCTATTTGTTCCCTCTGTTGTTCTTTTGACTCTGAAGAGTAGAACCATATCCCAAGCTAGAACCTTTTGATCTTAAGGTCTTGAGAATATGTAACAGGTTCCTTATCTAGTTCTTGACAGTAAGTTTGTTAGATCATCAAAACTTAAAACAAAAGTACTTATAACTTATCAAGTTTTCACATCCCTCTTCATTTCAAGCCAACTCCTCTTTGCCATACTCAAGCTTCCTCAGTGCAGTAGCTTCCATCTCAAATAAAATCGATAGACCTAGTCGTTTCCCACCACGATTCCCAAATCGCTCTAAAAGTTTCTCAAGGCATGTGGCTATCCTACCACAGAATTCATATGCTACTATGCCGCTCCCACTTCGGTTAAACCATCTCCTTTAAGCAACTCCTCGACCTCTGCTTTTCATACTTGTTCTGCTAGCAATTCAACCATTGCGAGACACCTCTCACCATGTCCTTCCTCATCCTTCGCTACCCAAATGTTTCATCAAATCAAAATTCATCTCTGTAGCACCTGGACTAATAAATTGCTACCAACTCTAAGCCTCCTCGAAGATCATATCTCTCGAGCCATCGGCATTCGAAACACCGATTCGATTCTGAAACCGCTACACACCGCCATCTCTGAGAACCGCTTCTTAGACACTATTTCACCACACCCTGCCCCGAAGACAAATCAAAGAGGTCCATAACACCGGCGAACCCTAATGCGTTCAAACAAGGACGACGACACCGTATCACAATGAAAATTCTACCACGCTCGAAAATCTCAAGTCTTGTTACTCCATCAACCAAAGTATGAACATCCATAGTCCGATTGCCTTTCCTTTGCTGGAATTAAATGCTGAACCTCTAAATCGTGCACTGAGAAATCCTCCTTTCAAGTCATTCACTGCCTCGACACATAAATAAGCACCCTACCATTACACCAATATTGTGCGATAACAACGCATGAACATCATAGCAATCTGTGCATAGCCTCAAAACCATAGAAAATACAGATACTGAGCTGAATGATAGAACACCATTCCGCAAGGCGACGATGATAGCCTGCCCGAATACGCAGGAAAAAAACATCTTGCACGTACGTCTGCAGTACCACTACAATTTCTCGATGCCCAATTGATAACAAGCGATTCATGTCGCATAAGATTGAATAGGAAGGGAATAAAAGCATAAGCCTCAAAGGAATCAAGTCGCACGATTAGGAATCAAGAGGGGAAGTGCTCCTAACAGACTTGTAGCCTCTCGAAGATAAGTACAAACGTCTCTGTACCGATCCGCAAGACTCTACTAGACTTTCTCATGACTCGTGAGACCCAAGTGAACCTAACGCTCTGATACCAAGCTGTCACGACCCAAAATCCACTATAAGTCGTGATGGCGCCTAACGCTGCCGTCAGGCAAGCCAACAATGATTGATCAACTTAATTACTCATTTTTATTACTTGAAATCATAATTCTCATTAATTAAATAGTATAAAATGAAAATTTTCAGGGTGAAATGATAATGATTACGTGAACTACCATACTAAACATCCAGTAGGAACCCTCAAAATCCGGTGTCACAAGTGCATGAGTATCAACTAGGAAATATAATAAAATACAATATTTGTCTGGAATACAAGTTAGACATGAGAATATAAATAACGCTGATGGAGACTCTGTATGATGCGGATCGTAATATAGAATGCAGCTCACCGTAAAATCCCCAAAATAGCTGCGTCTTCGCGCCCATAAGACCACCAGATATATATGTACCTGCACAATAAATGCAGCAAGTGCAGCATGAGTACGTAAATCAACGCGTACCCAGTAAGTATCTAGCCTAACCCCGAAGAAGTAGTGACGAGGGATCGACATCGACACCTACTAGTGGTCCAATAAATCAAATACAGTAGGAAGTAAACAAATGTGAGGCAGAGTAAACAAACGAAACAAACAAGTATAAATACGTGGTACAATCTTCCTCTCAACAATAAACTCAAGCTCTCATTTAGCAGTTACCTCTTCAAGCGGAGTATATGTATATAATGGACCTCACCAGATAGTCCGTCATAGTTCTAATCAGGACAACTTACAGATACACTGGCTTTTTGTCAAATATTACGCACGATTCCATAAGAGTATTTTATAGGAATGCCGAGGCGTACTGTCCAATCCCATTATAATGTGTGCATTGCCGAGGCTCAAACGACATGAACCATAGATACATCTATTATATTGCCGAGGCAAACGGCCCGCTCTCATGAGAGTGTGATACATAATCCTGTCGAGGCGAATGACCCGATGCAACCATAATGTGCGCATTGCTGAGGGTCGAATGGCACGAACCATAGATGTATCTATTATACTGCCGAGGTGAACGACCTGATCCTATTAGAATAAGAAGCTTTAACGGGTCCTTGACCCCATTCACGAATAAACGTGAGAGTTATGAACTTTAAGAAAGCTTTTCGATGAAAACGCACAACGCGGGAGAAATTCGTAAAGGGAGCATAATTATTCCGCGGCTAAATCAAGTAGCTGATCACATCTCTACAATAGCGAGTCTATCACCCTATCCAAGTCTAGTCTGAAGTCATAACGCGAAATAAAGTAATTTAAACGAGCAAAGATAACTCAAATAGTATAATTATAGCATGGCGTGAACCTAAATCTACCCGGACATAATCAGGAATTCTAGCATACACACGGACACTTGTCACCTCGTACGTGTGTAGCTCCCACAACATGTAGCACATAAGAATATAACACATACGTGGTAATTTCCCCCTCACAATGTTAGATAGGAGATTTATCTCGCTCCAGAGTTTCATAACCGGCTCCAACGTCTCTCTAACACCTCGAACCGATGGCCATCATTCCAAAACTAGTCAAACAATGTTCAAACCAATCAAAATATACTCTAATACCCGTAATTAATCAATTTAAACAAATTCCCAACTCCGCTCAAAAAGTCGATAAAGTCAACCCTCGGGCCCACATGCCCGGATTCCGAAATTGTTTGAAGATAAACTTTACCCATAACACTACGAACTCAAATATATGATTTATTCCCAATTCTATGTCCAATTTCGTAGTAAAAATCCAAAAATACAAAATTCTAGGTTTTTCTCTTAAAATCCCACAATTTCCATAAATATTCATGTTTTAATCCACATATAAACCATATATTTAACTCACGAGGTATATAATTCACTTACCTAAAGTTTGATGATGAAAATGGCACTCCAAAATCGCCCTAAAGTCGGCTCCCATGGAAGGAATGAGGTGAAAATGAGCCAAATTCCTTATAGATTGCAAGATATAAGCTTCCAACGTCAGCCTGTGCAGTAGAAATTTCTTCTTCGCGAACGCGATTAACATACCCATTTCTCCCATTTTTCTCTTCGTGAACGCGACCCTTTCCTTGCGAACACGAAGAAGGGCGCACCAGACCTTAGAAAACAACAACTCAACATGGCGAAAAGACCCGTAGACCCTCCGAAACACTCCCGAGGCCCCCGGGACCCCGTCCAATCACACCAACAAGTCCCAATACATGACACAAACCTGCTCGAGGCCTCAAATCACACCAAACAACATCAAAACTACGAATCGATGATCAAAATCTTTCTTTAAACTTTCAAACTTCGACGAACACGTCTGATTCATACTTAAACATTCCGGAATAACGCCAAACTTTACGCACAAGTCATAAATCACGATACGAACCTATTCAAAGGCTCGGAACCCCAAACGGACATCGATAACACCAAAGTACACCTCAAACCAAACTTAGAAAATTCTAAAACTTTCAAAATGCCAACTTTTCATAATAAGTGCCGAAATGCTCTCGGGTGACCCGATACTCAACCCGAACATACGCCCAAGTCCGAAATCATCATACGAACCTATTGGAACATTCAAATCTCGATTCCGAGGTCGTTTACTCAAAATCAAACCATAGTCAACTCTTCCAACTTAAAACTTCCGAATTTAGAATTTTTTATCCGAATCAACTCCAAACTTCCCGAAATTCAATTCCGACAATGCGTACAAGTCGTAATATATGAAGTGAAGCTATTCAAGGTCTCAAAACGCTGAACGACACGCTGAAAATCAAAATGACCAATTGGGTGTTACAGTTTACTTTGTTAAAGGTAGGGATGTATTTAGATGAAAAATATAAGGAGCATAAATGTAAACTATTTAGCAAAGTATAAGGTAAATTCGGACCGTTTCCCTAAATTAATTCCCAGCAAATTTCTCGAGTACGCTTCAATTCGAACGGTTCGAAATTGGCACCCAAACCCCCCAAGAAAATGGCGACTTCCGCCGTAGATGGTGGTGGTAGTAGTATTGGCGGAGAAGACATAAAGTTCAGCGTAATGGTTAGCCTATTCCAGTGGATACAGAAGAGCAAATCATCAGCGCAGAAGCGGTCCAAGTTCCGGAAGTTTCTAGACGCCTTCTGCAGGAAGCCTCAGGACAATTTCGCTGCTATGCGGCTCATTCTTCCTGGTCTCGACCGAGAGCGTGGCTCTTATGGACTCAAAGAGCACGTGCTTGCCACGTGCCTCATTGATGCCCTTGCCATGTCCCGTGACTCCGATGATGCCCGGCGTCTCCTCAACTGGCGTAAAGGCGGCCCCAAAACTGGCTCCAATGCCGGAAACTTCTCTCTTGTCGCCGCCGAGGTAAATTCTTCTTCGCTATTTGGAGGTAAACTTACAGATTGATTCTTGATGGTTTTAAATGCAGGCTTGCACTAATTTTGTAGTAGCGCTAGAAAAGGTTTTACTCTTTAAGTACTCGAGTGTAAAATGATCAAAGCTGTCCTTTCATTCATTGCACGTGACCCAAAACTACCTTGGTCACTCAGCCTCACACACTTGACTCTTATATTCCTATAAACATAACAGATTTTCCCTGTTTTTATTTCTCTGCATTTATTTTTGCTGCTAGTTCAGTCATCACATTCCCTTCTTGTTAGAGATTGACCTTGTCCTTAAGATCTTTGCTGGTCTTGAAACTCAAGGAACTGCTGTTTGATGTAGCTCCAATCTTCCCAAATTGTTTATTTTTGGAGCTAAATTTTCCCAACAAATCAGCTCCTTTATAGCTAGACCATTATTTTCCATAACCATTTATATCCTTAAAATGATCTAGTGTTGAATGAGAACCTGACCTTCTGGACGGGAGGTGGTAGTTGATACTGAGGGCTCACATCAGAGGTCTAATATGTTTGATAGCTGTGTTGTTATTGTTTTTGTTTATTATTGTAGTCATAACATTATTACTGCAGTGATAATACAACATTATTATGTTTTCCCCTGAGTTTGTCATGTTGTTGATGTTTCTGGTTAACCTTTTCTCTTCTTAAGAAAACTGGAAGATGTAATATACGCATAGATAACTACTCCCTCCGTTACAATTTATGTAAACCTGTTTGACTGGGAACGTAGTTTAAGAAAAAAATGAAGACTTTTGGAATTTGTGGTCCTAAACAAGTCAGAATATTTGTATGGCTATAATTCTTTTGAAACTTGTGGTGTTAAACATGCTAGAGTATTTGTGTGGTTATAAAAGTTTCTCATTATGGGTAGAATTGGAATTTTAAGTTAAATTGTTTCCAAATTTAGAAATGGATCATTTTTTTTGGAACGGACCAAAAGGAAATAGGTTCATATAAACTGGAACAGAGGAAGTAACATTTATAATTGCCACTTGTGAATAGGTCCTCAAGCGCAAACATGGAATGACCTCTGCCGGGCTAGCAAATAAGGAACTAAGACCCCATTATTTTTATTAAGATTAAGACAATTGAATCTGAATACACATTTGAATATTTAGATGTTTATTATTATTTAGACGTCTGAATCTAAATACAAATTTGAATATTAAGATGTTATATTAAAGTCTGAATATTAAACAATTAAGACTGCATCTGAATGTCTGAAGTTTGTCTTTCTTGAAAATTAATAAATGTAAAATTCAAATAAAATTCTAATTAATCTAATTATATATCAACTAAATATTACAAAAATTAAAATTTATATGGTGGTCAGTGGCGATGGTGGTTATGAGTAGTAGCTAGTGGTGATGGTAGCTGACAGTAGTGGTTGGTGGTGGTAGTTGGTGAGGGCAATTGATAATTATGGTAGATGATGGTGATAGATAATTGGTGACGAATAATAGCGGTGATTGATGGTGGTTGTGATATTGATGGTTGGTTGTGATGATTATAAACGGTGGCGATTGGTGGGGGTAGTGATTATGGTTGAGATTGGTGGTGGTAGTTGATAGTGATGGGCGACAATAGCGGTGAGTAGCGGTGTAAATGGATAGAATAGTGGTGAAATGCCTTATTTGCAAAACTTCGAACCAATAGCATCTTAATAATATTAAGACTTTGTTATAGGTGTTAATCATTAAAATTTATTTAGATGCACTAAGTAGTTGCAAGAGGAAAAAACATATGCACTTAATGATTGAGATCTGAATGATTAAAATTTCGACCTAAAAAACAAACACTTAATGACTGAATGATTAAGTGCAAACAAATGAGGCCTAAATGACTTCTGAAGCATCCTAGTAATACTCAAGAACAATAACAGGAAACAGACACTAATTAACACATTATAAGCACTTACATTTTCATGAGTTTTTTTATTGTTATTACGACTTCTTTTTGTAAGATCCATTAGCAACCGTGTTGTTATTGTTATTTTTTTTATCGAAATTATTGTTGCACTTGTTATTACATTATCACTATGGTGATAATACAACTTTATTATTTTTTCCCCTCAGATCGTTATGTTGCAAATGTTCTTGGTTTACTTTTTCTTCTTCAGAATACTAAAAGTTGTAACATATATATGGATAAGTAGCTACATTAAAATGCCACTTGTGAATAGGTCCTCCAGCGCAGACAGGGAATGGCCTCTGCTGGGCTAACAATTAAGGAACTAAATGAATTCCTTGATCACTTGGCGTCCAGTGAAAACAGGTGATGAAGTTTCCATATTTGTTTATATCTTTATCATTGTGATTTCCATAGTTATAGACTACCAGTTTCTGTATATCTTTGTCCTCCTGATTTCTGTAGTTATACATTAAGAAGCTGTCTTTACATCAAATATATTCTTCCCTGAGGAATGTATGGTTTTAACTAGCAGTTTTAGTATGAATCTTTGGCCTCAAAATAGGTAGTTATGTCTAATCCTAGTTGAGCTATGGTAGAAGTTCTTCAAATTTATCGGATTTGCTTCCTAACATGAACCTAAGTATGTCCTTAAAAAAAAAGAATTGATCTACTACTTGGATTTGACCACGGTTGTCATAGTGATAAGAAGATAACTGAGGTGTTATTAGAAGTTAGAACTTAGAAGGGATGTCTATATTATGTCCTTATCTTTTGCAACCCAATTTTAAGGTCTCTTAATGTAAATTATGCGTTCTTATGTCAATTTCTTTTGTCGGGGGAGGGGAAAATGGGAGGAGGAGCTGTAGATATTGCTCTGATAACATTCTGCTTTTGCTGTACTGCTTGTTGTATTTATCTTTCATTGTCTTTGAAAATTGCTACCGGAAATTTTTGCTCTCTGATTGTTACAATTTGATGCTACTCTTTCCCCCTTTACTGGAAATTGTTGCTCCCTGATTGTTACTATCTGATGCTACTTTTTCTCCTCTTTTTCCTTATCGTCTTTTGTCTCCCTCGTCTTTCTTTCTCCCCCTATTTCTTGAGCCGAGGGTCTATCGGAAATAGTCTCTCTACCTCTCCAGGTAGGGGTAAGGTCTGCGTACACACTACCCTCCCCAGACCCCACTTGTGGGATTATACTGGGTATGTTGTTGTTGTTGTATTTATCTTACAAGTTGCTATTTCTTTGTAGTACCATCTGGTTACATCTCACCCATGTTATTGTTGCAAGTGTCCATATTCTTCTTGTTTTCCTTTAATTGGATTTGGATGTCCCGCTAGCCTTTTGGTGTACGAAAGCAAAAGAAAATGATACTTTTAAATCTGAATATTAACCTTAATATATAGTATAGTGATAAATGGATTGCATAATACCATTGCTTCTGTTTTCACTTCTCATTTTGTTTCTATTCTATTATGTTGTGCAGCAAAATCAGAGTAAACTTTAGGATCTTTTAGTTGACAGATGGCAATTAGGTAGTATTTTACTATTTTTAGTAGTGAGATACTATGCTTTTTTTGTTGATAAATAGTAGCGAGATACTATACTAATGGGCTGATTATATTCTCGGTGAAGGAATTGTTGGATATTTATCTTTTTTTCTTGTCGGTAAAGTTGTTGGATATCTTATCTTAGGTTTGGCTCATTGGACTCAAGGTGGGACTGGGGTATGGTCTTGTTTTTCTTTAGATGATAAGTCAATATAGAACTGGGTAAAATGGAGTGACAAAAGAAAAAGAACGGTAAGAGCAATCTCTGTCCCAGAAGTAAAGGGACTCTAATAAAATATTGAGGTTGCTTTGGTGGGATTTTACATTCCCACTTAGCACCAAGTTGTTTGTGTGTGGGGGTGGGGGGAACAAGTCCTAGGCCANGGGGGGGGGGGGGGTAAACAAGTCCCAGGCCATAATTTTAAAATGGGGACAGTCCTCAGGATTCAAATTTCAGAACAAGATTTTCAGGATAGTTCTTCGCACAAGAAGTTGCTAGGCTAAAGTTTCTGAAAACTACACGCACTTTTAATGAGAGAGTGATCTATAGACCGCTAAAAGCCAGCAGTCATGTATTTCTTATTTTCAGTTTTATTATTATTATTTTACTCTTATGATTTTTGTTTTATCATAACTGGCAAGTGCTGAAGATCGAGAATTTTTCGCAAATTATCTTTAAACTTAAAGAGGTAAAACACAACTTTCCTGAAACCGCTCTCTGTTACTTGACATATAGGTTGTTGCAACATCTTATACGTGAATTACAGCATGTGTTTTTGAGTAACAGTGCAAGATAAGATATGCTGGGGTTTGGTAGGTTTGGTTATCATAGATTTTTGTATATATTGTAGAGGAACTTCCTCCCTGGCAGATTTACCAATAAAACTTCATTTTACGTATATGAGAAGAAATACTTTTACCTTTTTCAAAAAAAAAAAAAACCGGTATGAAAAGAAATAAAAAGGCAAGAAGCTGCAAGTTAAGTAGTAACAAAGAAAAATATTCCTGCCATTGTTATTTATGTAAGGTATATAGTTTGACTCGCCACAGAGTTTAAGAAAGAAAGAAGACTTTTGAAACATGTGGTTTTAAAACATGCTATAACATTTGTGTAGCTATAAGATTTTTGAAACTTGTGATGCTATACATGCCATAACATTTGTGTGGCTATAAAAACTTCTTAGTAAAGATAAACTGGAAAGTTTAAGGTTAAATTGTTTCAAATATAGAAATATGTCATTTTTCTTGGAATGTTTTCAAATATAGAAATGTCATTTTTCTTGGAATGGACTAATAAGGAAATAGCGACACAAACTGGAATAGAGGGAGTAGCATCTTTTTTATAAGTCAGCAAAGAGAGATTACGAGACAGACAATTCTTGAAGCATGGAAGTTAGGAAATCCACAGCTGCATATCTTGACTATCATGTACTTGTACTATACATTGGACTTGTGGCTATAGTGATTTTGGAGGGTTTGGTATGGTTTCAGGGGTAGGGTTTTGTGGGAGGGAGTTTTCGGGAACAAGTGTAGCGCAGAAATGGATTGCATGCAGGTTGCACTCAGTGGGATGTAAAGGTTTTGTTTAATTTGGTAATTATCGATTAGAGGACTTAAATTAGCTTGCTTTAGACTAATAGAAGGTCTGATTTGTGTGTAAACTGAAGGTAAGGATAGTGCAGTCAGTGATGCTGTTTAGTTTTTGACTAATTTGATAATTTTAAGAATAAAAATTAACTTGTAGTCAAACTGAAGGTTAAACACTAAGATGATACATATTGCTCACTGATGAAATTAAAGCACAATAGGTCTTGGTTAAGAGACTTGTAAGTCATCCAATTGTTGCTTGTAGCTAATCAGTGGTGTTAAGTCTACTCCATATCAATGGTCTCTTAAATTGCTTAAACTTGAGAATCATGCAACTACTTTAGACGGCCTCAATTCCAAACTAGTTGTGGTCAATTGTATAGTTATATTAATCCTTTGATCCAATCTACTGTGTTTAGGACTTTAGGTCCATTTCATTTCGATACTAGATTATCTTTTAAGGAAATTAAGGTTTCTCTCAATCAAAAAGGGGACAACAACAACAACAACAAACCCAGTGAAATCCCATACATGGGGTCTGGGGAGGGTAATGTGTACGCAGACGTTACCCCTACCTTATGAAGGAAAAGAGACTGTTTCCAATAGATCCTCGGCTCAAGAACAATGAAAAGGACACAATAAACAAACAATAACAATGGCAAGGAAATAAGATAACGAAAACAAATAGCACAACATGTAATAGCAAAGATTTAGGAATACGAAGCTATAAGAGAAGTGCAAAAACTACCAGCAATAATGCCACATCGTCTAACAACAAGGAACTCGGAATAGGAGAATACAAGGCTAGTACTAATACTACTAGTACGACTAGAAGAGACTCTCGACTACCTGTCAACCCATAACCCTAATTCTCGACCTCCACACCTTCCTATCGAGGGTCATGTCCTCGGTAAGCTGAAGTAGTGCCATGTCCTGCCTAATCACCTCTCCCCAGTACTTCCCAGGCCTCCCTCTACCTCTTCTCTGATCCGCCATGTTCAACTTCTCACATCTTCTCACCGGGGCATCGGTGTCTCTCCTCTTCACATGTCCGAACCATTTCAGCCTCGATTCCCTCAACTTGTCTTCCACAGAGTCAATCAAAAAGGGGAAAAAATGGAAATTAGGGTTTCTCTAAATATCACACTTATCTCTACACAAACATAAAAGTGAATAACTAGAAAAAACGACCCCTGTCAAGCAGCAAACCTAATGTAACTACAATTAAGCCTCGATGCCAACTCTTGTTTTTTGTTTTTTTTGGTTTAGTTCGGTGGTTATGCATTTACTTTGACATTTTGAATTATTTAACGTTCATGTTTTTTAATCTTCTAATATTTTGTGTCTTTTCAATTTATTTGTCATGTGGCATGGCAAGCTCCGCCAAAGCAAAATTGCCATGCTTTGAGACTTGTCTTAGATTCATCCATATTGACCAATAGTCTTTACCATCAATCATGGCACATCGGTTGAATTATTGATCAACATTCTTTTTCAATAATAGCCAGTTCTCAAACAGGCTGATCTTGTCAACTGCATAGGCCAACTTGTTGTATGGAAGAGCGTGAAACTCGGTCTTGTGATCTGAAGTAGAAATGCAAAAATTGTAGACATAGAGATGAAGAGTTGAAATTCATTTTTATCTCTAGCTTTCAAGTTTCTAATATTGTCAAAGCGATTGCTTTTTTATACCAATATTTTAGTTATAGGAATGCATATTACCAAATTGTTGATGCATCTTATCCTTTTATGAACAAATGAGGAAGAAGCAGATTTTGTAAAGGCATCATGCTCCGGCATATCAAAAACTTAGACATGTTGTATTCTTGTTTTTGATAGGTAAACTTAGACTTGTTGTATTGTTAAACCTTAGGGGGTCATTTGGTTTGAGTGATAAGAGATTATTGTTCCGGGATTAAATTCGGGATTAGTTATCCCACGTTTGGTAGGATTTTCAATTCCAGGGTTAACAATCTCGGGATTAGTTATACCAAAATTGTGGCATTATTTTTATCCCACATTGAGGGTGGGTGGGTTAACAGTCCGGGGATCATTAATCCTGGGATAAGAGAATAAAATGGCACATTTGCCCTTCTCCAAAGTTTTTTTCCAAATTAATTTTAAGAAAGGCAAGGTTAAAATAGAAAATAAAAGTTTATCCCAATCTCTCTAGTTTAAACCTAACACAAGTTTTATTTATACCCCGTATATCTCATTTTTAGTCCAATGAACCAAACATCTACCAATAAAAGTATATCCACTAAATAATCCCCTCATTATTAATCCCGGGATAATTTGTTTTCCAACCAAACAACCCCTAGATCTGTTGCATTGTTAACTTTAAAAGCTAGATCTCCTGCAGGAAGCCTGTGAAATGCATACTTAAGTTATAGACTTTGGTTGCTTCTTTGGAGTTTATTTTGGAAAGAACTTGATCAGATACTTTGTTGCTCCAGTATTCACTATTCACTTAGCTTGTTATATTATGCTTCATGAAGGTGTATTTCTATTGTTTTAACAGAGCAGAGAAGACTTCAATTCTGTCTGATCTCATCAGGAAAACAAATGCGCAAGAAATGAAATGGATTATAATGATAATTCTGAAAGGTGTGGTGATTTTTTGTCAATGCTTAAACTGTAGGATCTCCTTTCACGCCCAATGATGCCAATTTTCCATTGACTTATGTCTTCATCTTTCAGATCTTAAGTTGGGAATTAGTGAAAAGAGCATCTTCCATGAATTCCATCCTGATGCAGAGGACTTATTCAATGTCACATGCGATTTAAAACTAGTTTGTGAAAAGTTAAGGGACAGAAGTCAACGGCATAAACGCCAGGTTTGCTTCAAGTTCTCATATTGAACCTTATGACATACTTCTTTTCCTGACTCAGTACTTTTGTTGGATATGTTATTCCGCCAGATTTTTTTAAAAGATAAATTTAACTGTAAAATTTCTTTTTTTTTTTTTTCACTTTAGTGACTAAGTGTATATTCCTGACCTATAGTTTGGTAGATATTTGTTCACCGCTTGCAGTTGGTAAAGATCCTAAAGTCACTTCTTGTCCTAGAGATGAGCAAATGTGTTATTTCCTCAACTAGAGTGCTTATGTTAATGGTCAGGTCCTACTAAATTCGTCTCTCATTGCCTTCCGTGGTTGAGCAATCTACTCTTTTATCAAAGCTTGATTTAGAAAGTCACTGATAAATGATTGGGCGTTTTGGGAAGAAAGGATAAGATGACAAGTTTTGTGAAGTGTTGGAAGCAATGGCTGAAGCAGTGATTAATTGATTTTCCTATGCTACATATTTAGATTTAGATTTCATCAGCAACTTTACTCTTGGTTGAAGGACTTTGAATTCTGAAGTAGGTGATTTTTATATGCCTCCATTTCAATTTATGTGACACACTTTCCTTATTATTTCTTTCCGAAAAGAATGACATATTTCTATACTTGGAAACAATTTAACTTTAAACTTTTCATTTAACCTATTTTACCATAATGAAAAGCTTTTATAGCCACATAGATGCTATGGCCCCACAAAGCTTTTACCCTTCAAACTTGTAAGTACACAAGTTTTAACAATCTTCTTTTTTCTTCTTAAACTCCGTGCCTAGTCAAACTACGTCACATAAATTGAAACAGAGGGAGTATCTTTGTACTTTGTTCAATGTTTAAAATTAAAGAATTTGCAGTCGTGATTGACGTTTTCAAGTGTGTTCCTTTACCTAGTGATGTAGATTGTTTAGGCTATGCATTGACCATTCTTTAGTATATTGAGTTTATTCATGCCTTAAAACAGAGCAATTTGGGAATGAGTTAGCTCTTTCAAATGGGCAAAGAAACTTGCTGCGTTGACCATAAATTAGTGCCCAAATTGTTGCATTATAAGTCATCCGGTTGTTTTAAACTTGCAATTACATGTGCGATGTACCCTAAGTAGTATTGACATGGTCGTGACACTTCTTTGATTTATAAATAAAAAGGATATGATGACAACATCATTTCAAACATGATACAATTTATGAGGGAAAAAAGGAACTAAAACTAAGTGTACACGGTATGTCTAGGACACAATACTATATAGAATACGTATGTCATTAAGTTATTATTGTTATATGAGATTGTGTATATGAAATCTCTTGTATTGCATATGTTGAAGTTATTAGAAGTAGGTATTATTTTTATGAGATGTTCTTACATAAGTGGTTAATGGAAAGTGCAATGGAGTTCGACTATGGGTTGTTCTTTCTTTTTGAAGCTGAAGGGATGGCAGCTCTGCATAGTCTACTGAGTTGAATCATGAATGGATCCACTAATTAGTTTTTTTCAATCAACCATGTTTGTCTGAGACTATAGCAAAGTAAAGAAGTTGCAACAAAGTACGACTGATGAGGCAATTTGTTTCGCTTAAATCACCGGTACATAAATTTAGTAGAAGAAAAAATTTCAGGAAAAAATAGTTTTCTCAGTCTCAAGTAACTTATGCATTTATAGTCAATAGAACCATTAGCAACCCAGTGAAAATATGTGATGTTCCTTAAATAATAATAATTGTAGGCAATTTAGGGTTGGCTAACTCCTAAGCAATCTTCAACATCAATCCTGCTAGGAAATTCCTGAGTGTAGAAATCCAGATAAGGGTTATTTTCTCACAGTGAAGTAACTTGTGCAGTTACAGTAATGAGAAGGGTAAGGTATCCCCTCTCAAGGTCGTGTCCTACCTTTTGGAGATGAAAGAAATGAGAAAAGTCTCAATTTCGGTCCTTTTATAGGCTGAAGATATTGGGAAGTGCTTGTAAGAGAGCCCATTTTTTCACCCACACATAAGAAACAATGAAAGCAGAATTGTCATTTTTCTGCTATCACGTGCAGCCCGGACAGGCCTCCGATGCATGCACATGATTGCCCGGATAGACGGCTTTCAGTAAAATGCCCAAAACTTTTTGTAGGAACATCCAAATATTACGAACCATTTGATGCATTGTAAACTAGACTCCAAGTTCTACAATTTTGCTTCAGAAACTATAGTCAAATTCCTGTTATATCAATAGTTGTGCATCCCTGAAGTTATGCTATGTTTCGCATTTCCTCGATCACTCTTTCAAAACCACTCTAAACTACCTCTACCCTTTGTCAGACATCCTTATCACCTTTCACAAGATTTCAGTGTTCTACACCTTCTCAACATGTCAAACACCTCTTTGCACAACTAAGAGCGAAAATCTTACAGTGTGCAACAGGAAAGGAGTGGGAAGGTAAAGAATTTGTATCATATGCAGGACAGAGTTGTAGAGAAGGCAGTAAAAGAGTGCCAAAGTAGAGAATTAGTATTTTATTGCTGTAAACAAGGTGACATAGAAATAATTGTGACATTTGTATCATTGTTCAAGTCGAAAATGAAAATAATTTCTCAATCAATCAACTATGCTTCAAACCCACAATGACAATATTTAATTNATATATATATATACAACCATCCTCCTTTGTTCGAACTTGGGACTGACTATGCGAAGCTCCCGTAAGCGGAGTTTGAATGTGACAAGCATATACAAACATATTTCATATCAAGAAACAGTGTTGAAAAGGTCTTTCCGTGCAAGGAACTTATTCCGCAGCTCGTGGCAAAATTACAACAGTTAGTATGATCCTTTTAGTTTTTGAGGTGGTATGTCATTGATAACATCATGATGTTAATATCATTTAAGTTCTCCCGTCTCTAGTTTTGCATTCTTATACATGTCCAGCTGAGTGATTGCACCTGGTGTTGTTTTTCTCAGGACATTGAAGTTGGAAAAGCGGTCCGCCCTCAGCTGGCTCTTAGGGTCAGTAATGCATCTGCTGCGTGGAAAAAGGTTTTCTCAGATTTGCTATTTTATCTCCTTGTTTATCCCCCCGCTCCCCCCTCCCTTTCACACACCAAGTCTTTCTAGCGATGGTAGATTTACTATTAATTAACTTTGTCTCATCTAAAGTAGTTAATATGTCAACAGCTTCATGGGAAGGAAGTAGTTGTTGAGTGCAAATTTGACGGGGATCGTATCCAGATTCATAAAAATAATTCTGACCTAAACTTCTTCTCAAGGTACCATTTTCATAGCTTTATATCTAATTCCTTCCTTTTGTTGCATTTCCTTGGCATTATTTAATCCTTGCTATTTTGGGTCACAGATATTTGCTCAATTTATCTAAATGAGTAAGGGGCATTTTCATATATACCCACTTTTGGGGCCACCATTGAAGTTATACCCGTATTGCACAAAATTTTGCAAAGTTTACCCGCTCGGATCTGAAGTAGTTCAATCTCTTCAATGCAACTTCAGAAATCAAATCTGAAGTTCTTCTATCTTTCAAATGCTACTTCAGAAATTCGAATGTAAAGTAGTTCAATTTCTTCAATGCAACTTCAGAAATCAAATCTGAAGTTCTTCTATCTTTCAAATGCTACTTCAGAAATTCGAATGTAAAGTAGTTCAATTTCTTCAATGCAACTTCACAAATCAAATATGAAGTTCTTTCTATCTTTCAAATGCAAATTCAGAAATTCAAATCTTAAGTGGTTCAATCCATTGAATACAACTTCAGATTTCGAATCTTAAGTTCTGAAACATAAACTTGTTCTTCGAATTTCAACCATCCAATACACGATTCAATGCCCAAATTTACTCCAAATGAGCTCAAATTTGAAACATAACTTTTAAATATCATAAAGACAAATGTCAAATATCAAATTGTCAAAACAACAACAAATTTAACAAACCCATTTTGCAACTAAGAAGAAGAAGAAGAAGAAACTCTAAGCACAAAGAAGAAGAAAACAACAGTAAAGAAGAAGAGAAAAGTGTATGTATCTGAAGTTATCCAAAAATTGGGTATCAGTTAAACTTTTTTAAAAAGTGGGTACAAATTCAATGGGTGGCGCAAAACTAGGCGCCAGAAGAAAATTTTACAATGAGTAAATGAATTTTTATTGTTGTGTCCTACTGAATTTTAATTTTTGTACTTTCCGAGTAAATCTTGATATGCATACGCTATGGTTCTCATAATGAATTATTATAGACTTATATTGCTTTTCTGAGCGTGATTATTTACTCAATTTTCATGCAGAAACTTTCTTGATCATCAAGAGTATGCTCATGGAATGTTAGATGTTATTACACAGAATATTCTTGTTGACAAGTAAGCGAACAGATATCTCAATCGCAAAACTTCCGTTCTTCTCTCTTTACCCATTGTTTTTCAATGTCACCCTGTGATTTGTTTATTGTTGTTCCATGTCTAGATTTGCTACCAAATCCACCACATGCCTATCAATCGTACCCTAGACTCATATATACTTTGTTTGTCCGTTTATGAACTTGGTTTCAACTCTTGACTGCGAAAATGTTGTGGGGCTTGGTTTTATGATCACGTCATGTCTCTCATTTCCCTGTCGGTCTCTCTCTCTCTAGTGGTCAATTTGGGATGGGATGCAAGGTTGTAGAATGAGAAATTTTGGCGATTGGCCCAGATTGATAATGTAGCGTAAGTTCTGTTTCAGAAGAGAAGAAGAATTAACTTACTTTGTGGAGGAGCTCCGAACAGCCATGAGCAGCATGGTGATAGAAGTCTTTCTTTTAGCTTTTGGACGCTGTACATCCCTAATATCTGGTGTGACATGAAGTGAAATTTTTGGTTTATCTTTTATAGATGGCATCAAGTATCTCTAATAACTTGTTATTTTCTGAAATTAAAAGAATATGCATTGTTATTTTCTGAACTGGGCAGAGCTTGGATAGCTATATCTATTGCCTTTATCTTGCTTGGAATGAAGGGCACTTACCTTTTTGCAACTATGGTTCGCCTTGCCTCTTTTCTTTTGATCAGGTGCATACTTGATGGTGAGATGCTGGTTTGGGATGCATCAATGAACCGCTTTGCAGAGTTTGGTTCCAATCAAGAAATAGGTACTTATGATCTTTGATTGACATTTATTTGAAATCTATTTGTTTTGTCTACAGATGCATTTTCCATTTTTGCTGATGATCTGCTAATCCATTGTGAACCTATCTTTGCGTAATTAATTGCCTGACTTCTCATTGTGAATTTCTTACCTTTGTCATAGCAAAGGCTGCAAGAGAGGGTCTTGATAGTGATAGGCAGGTTTGTCACGAGAACATTACTATGTTATTGATTCATTCCTATAAAAACTTAGCATAATGACTTATGTTTTGGTTGTGATGCAGTTGTGCTGTATCCTTTTCTCTCGACAACTGTGTTCAAGTTTGGCAGTGTTCTCAACAGGAGATGAGTGAGTGTGTTGATGTCAGCGATTCTTGTCTTTAGAGTTCCATACAGTTGGTTGACTTCTATCTCCTTAACATTAAATGTCAATAGACATTGCATTCGACATTCTTTATGTTGGGGATACCAGTGTTATTCACCGAAGCTTGAAGGAACGTCAGGAGATTCTCCAGGAAGTTGTGAAGCCCATAAAAGGCCGTTTAGAAATTTTAGTCCCTAATGGCGGTCTTAATGCTCATCGTCCTTCTGGTAATGGTGCTCTTCGATTCAATAGGTTGTTAGTTATAGTCTTTTTTTGCATGCTTCACATTCTATTCAACAATAATGGTTGTTTCAATCTCCTGAAGTTTCTGGTGATATTAAGATCTGTATGTGGTTTTGTTTCAATGAGATGCTCGTGCCAAGAACCAAAGCTTCTCCATTTGTCCTCATCCCAGCCGGGGAATATGTGAGCATCCACCATGGTCTCATGCTGTGAACTTTGTTATATTGTTCAGACTCAAGAGTATGTGCCTAGAAATGTGACTAGTATAGTCCACCCCATAATTAAGTTAATTGCAGAAATCTGAAATCTATATAACTCTAGAAAGCACCTAAGGAGTTCCCTAGTTCTCGACGTTCATGTCCCACCAATTTCAAAAAATTATACATCTTTGTTGTCCTTTCTTTGGTAATATTACATCAATAAAAACAAAATTAGTAAAAGCTTCTGGATGATTATTTTTTTAAATTTTTATATGAACTGTTCTGGTCACGCTCCCCGTGACTCTTCTCTCTCTTCTTCTTCCTAAGATACCACCGCCCCATCAAGAGCCAAGCTTCCCGCGTCCAAACCCCAGTGAAGTTCTCCGGCAACCGAGCCCCCACGCGCGGCCAACTCGCCTGTTTTTGCGGCGAGATCTCAGCCACGCGCCGGCGCGTGCGGCTTTTTCCGGCGACTTTTTCAAACTTTTTTCTTCAGACAGCCTCTTCTCGAGGCATTTCCGAGCCTTCCCGTTTCGGTTTCACCAAAATCCGACAACTTTTCTTTTTCCGGCCATTAAACCCCAGATTCCGGCGACTGTTTCCTTTGTTCAGTACCAGAAAACTTTCTTCCCTTACTATATACTGTTTTCATCCACTGTGACTACTGATATTCTAGCCTTTGAGGTTTTTTCCGGCCAGAACTCACTTCTTTTTTGGGACAGCCGCATTTAGAATATGATGGATTCTACAGAGAGAAGCTCTTTCTTCTCTCTAGAATCTAGAAAACTGGAGAACATGTCTTTCATCAAAGCTGCCTCTTGGCCAACCCTAAAACTTGGGAGAAGATGCCATCGGAAGCTTGACGTAGGGCAGGAGCCGCACTTCTCGCTGTCTGAGGAGCACACTCTCAGGCACAAGGTTTTCTTGAATCTAGTCTCATTGGGTCTTTCTCCAAATGGGTTGGTTCTCCAGAGGCTGTTAGGAACTGGGCAGCAGAGGCATGGAATGTCAAGGACGGGTTGAAAATATCGCAACTGGGGGACACTCAATATTTCTTTCATTTTGTCGACAAGTCTCAAGCTTCAGAAATTCTTGTCAAAGGAAACAGGTGGTTCGATGGGAACTTCTTAAAGCTAGACTGATGGGTGGAGCACGATGAGTGTCTCGACCCTCGTTTCACCGGTGAATCATTGGTGGTCAACATGGTGGATCTCCCGGTGCATCTTTGATGTCTTGACCTGTTCAAGAAGATTGGGGAAATCTGTGGGGGTTTTATTGATGTCACTTGCAGCTTACACGATCTCTCGCGAGTGGGGATTGTGGTGAGGAAAGGGGGCAGAATCCCTGTCTCCACTGTGGTGGAAGATGGCTACTTGAGTTATAGGGTTTGGTTGAGCCCTGAATTTCGCCCTATCTTTATGCCTGTGATAGTGGCGGAAGAAAAAGGAAGGTCAAATAGAAGGGAGGGGAGGGGAAATCAGTCTCTGAGGGGAGGGGAGGGCTCACCGGATCAGTGAATTAAGCCGGAATCAGACGTTAGATCGAGAAGTGATGGGAGGTTTGAATTTGGGAGAAGAAGACAATTTTAATAGGAGGAAAAAATGCGAATGAGTTAGTGATGCGGGTTGGAAAGGCAGAATGGGCCGATCCTCTTTTAACTATCATAGGGCCGAGCAAGATTTCAGCAAGTATAGGTTTGGGACATATGGGCCCAACAACTTTTTTCAATTCTATTAGAATTGATCCTAAGGGGCCCAGATTATATCAAGCCGCGTCTGATAAGGCTCCTAAGCATATGGGAACAGTCGCTCCTTCTTCTTCTGCCAATGATGCCTCACACAGTGGTATTTCTTCACCAAGCTCTAGTGACCTGTGCCCCTCTTCGGCCACTGCTCCTGGGGCAGCACCGGCTAAAGCTGGTGGTGTTATTCCACGCCCCCCACCTCTGATGGACCCAGCTCCATCGCCCCCTCATCTCCCCCTGTGCTTAGCTGTGCTGAGGTTACAATACAATCTTCTTCCTCTTCTGGGGAGATTGATGCGCTGGCCCCAATTGATGTCAGTGGCGGGACAGTAATACCAACTAATATGACGCCAAGGGCTCCATCACGATACCCTGCCAAAGAGGCATTAATTTCAGAGGTTGGTGCCTCTCAAGGAAACAACGAGATCCACCAGGCACCTAAAGTTCCTATTGCTAGCAATGCTATGGTCTTGCATTCCTCCGGTAGGGGCAAGGAAAAGGTACTTACAGAAGACGCATGGCCAATTTCATCACGGATTGGAGAAGGGGATATGTCCTTCTGGATGGAGGATAAACTATTAAACTTTGAAAAGTTCTTAGGTGTTTCTTTTGAAGGGAAGGAAGATAGGGTGCTAGAACTGTTGAGGGAGATTGAGCAACGGTATTTTTACGAATGTGTAGGAAGGGAGTTGGGTAAAGGTGTTGAGCAAAATAACTTAGGGGATGTAGTGGTGTATCAAAGAAGGGGCCGGGAATGTGACAGGGAGAAAGGGACCTCGGCTATGGGGGGTGGGGAAATAGGGGCTATTGTTACTTATGAAAGTTAAGATTCTTTCATGGAATGTGAGGGGATGAATGACCCAAACAAAAGGGCCATCATCAAAGTGGTAGTTAGGGAGTGGGGTGCCAACCTAGTTTGTTTTGAGGAGATCAAAATGAAAGTTTTGTCGAATGCGATCATGAGAAGTGTCTGGGGAGGTAGTTGGGTGAAATATGACTGGGTCCCAGCAACGGGAAGTGCCGGGGGCATTCTACTTATGTGGGATGATAGAAGCTTGGAGGTAAAGGAGATTAGGAAGGTAGTTTTTTCTTTAGCAGCTCTCGTCAAAGAAAGAGTGAGGGGTGGAGTGGGGATTTGGGGGAGTGTACGGACCGGTAGGGGAAGGGTCCAAGGTGTCTTTCTGGGAGGAACTGGCCAATATTATGGGGGAATGGGACATTCCATGGGTTATAGGAGGAGACTTTAACACTATTAGATTCCCGGAGGAGAGATTAGGGTGTACTCTGATTTCGGGGGCCATGCAGGAGTTTTTTGATTTCATCAATGATCACTTTCTCATTGATCTTCCTCTATCAGGGGAAAGGTTTACTTGGGCCAGGGCGGAGGATTCCAATTCAAGGTCTAGACTTGATAGATTTCTGATATCGCCCTCCTGGGATGAGCTGGTGCCGAATATGCTGCAGATTCCCTTACCTAGGCCGACTTCGGATGATTTGCCTATCTTGCTAGATGGATGCAGAGGGAGGGGGGTGCGTGCTCCCTTCCGATTCGAGAACATGTGGTTGAAAGTGCCAGGATTTGGTGACAAAGTGAAAGAATGGTGGACAAGTTACAGGGTATCAGAGTCACCTTCATTCCGTCTGTCGAAGAAACTCAAATTGCTCAAGAGAGATATTATTAGGTGGAATAAGGAGGTCTTCGGGAGGGTAGAGGTCAAAATGAGGGAGCTTATGCATGAATTGGGGGAATTAGAGAGATGCGAAGGGGCGAGGGAGCTAGATGAATCTGAGAAAGCGAGATTGAGGGAGGTTAAGAGGGAAATAGTCGAGTTAGCAATAGCTCAGGAGACTAGTTGGCGGCAAAAATCAAGGGCGCTCTGGTTAAAGGAGGGGGATTCGAATACCAAGTTTTTTCACAGGGTTGCGGTTGCAAATCGAAGGAGAAACTTCATAGAGTCCTTAGTTGTGGATGAGGTGAGGATTGAGGGAGAAGAGGGGTAAAAAGGGCGATAGTGGGGTTTTATGAGAACTTATACAAAAAGGAAGTTAGTTGGAGGCCTACTTTGGGGGAATAGAGTTCAACCACATAGGGGAGGGAGACAATGAGTGGCTAGAAAGAGCTTTCGAGGAGGAGGAGGTGCACGATGCTGTTTCGAGTTGTGCTGGTGATATGGCCCCCGGGCCTGATGGTTTCTTCTTGGCCTTCTTCCAGCTCTGTTGGGACACCATTAAGTGGGAGTTGATGGAAGCCATTGAATATTTCCACGTGAATGGTGCTTTCGAGAGAAGTATCAATGCTTCTTTTATTACTATTGTGCCTAAGAAAGAAGGCGCATCTTGTATCAGAGACTACAGGCCTGTCAGTCTCGTGGGGAGCATTTACAAGATTATTTCTAAAGTGCTCTCCAACAGACTCAAAAAGGTTCTTGACGTGTCTGTTTCGTCCTCCTAGAATGCGTTTGTGGAAGTTAGGCAGATCCTGGATGCTGCTCTGGTGGCAAATGAACTTGTAGACTCCAGAAGGAAAAATAGAGAACCCGGCTTACTGTGCAAGTTGGACCTTGAGAAGGCTTTCGACCATGTCAATTGGGAGTTCCTGGACTTCATTATGAAGCGGATGGGGTTTGGGGAAAGATGGATGGGATGGATCAAGTTTTGCATTTCCTCAGTCAGATTCTCTGTCCTGGTTAATGGTAGCCCGTGTGGTTTCTTTGGCAGCTCCAGGGGTCTCAGGCAAGGTGACCCCTTATCCCCCATACTATTCATTTTAGTGATGGATGCTCTGAGTAAAATGATGGATCGTGCGGCGGGTGGAGGCTTCTTGGGAGGATTCTCAGCTCCGATCGGGGTGCTCAGTGCCCGAAGAGTTTCTCATTTGCCTTTTGCGGATGACACCCTGATTTTCTGTGATGCCGTTATAGATCAGTTGACCTGCCTGAAGCAGGTACTGCAGTGGTTTCAGATAGTATCAGGACTCAAAATCAACCTCGACAAGTGTGAGATTTTCCCGGCGGGTGAGGTTGCTAACATTGATGCTTTGTCTCATGTTCTCGGATGCAAGTTGGGCTCTCTTCCCACTACTTAACTGGGTCTACCATTAGGCGCTTCGCATAATGATACTACGGTTTGGAATCCAGTCATTGAAAGGGTTGAGAAAAGATTAGCAGGCTGGCAGAAACGGTACTTGTCAAAAGGCGGTAAGGAAGTGCTTATAAAAAGCACTTTGTCGAGTATCCCTACCTATTACTTGTCCCTGTTGCAAGCTCCTGCGAGCATCACAGAAAAACTGGAGCGGCTTCTAAGGAATTTTCTTTGGGATGCGGCGGATGGAACTAGAAAGTTTCATCTAGTGAATTGGCAGACAGTCACTTCCCCAAAGAAGTGGGGTGGACTTGGAATAAAAGATCCTTATGGTATTCAACAGAGCTTTGCTGGGGAAGTGGCTGTGGAGATTCGGGGTAGAAGAGCATGCTCTATGGAGGGAGGTCATAGTAGAAAAGTACGATTATACGGGAGGGGTTGGAGGACCAAGGCAATCACAGCACCGTTCGGGTGTGACATGTGGAGGAACATCATGAAGAACTAGGAAGCTTTCTATGGCAACATCACTTACAGGGTGGGAGATGGAAGGAGAATCAGCTTTTGGACTCACAGGTGGTGTGGAGAGGATACTCTGAGGGTATCTTTCCCCCACGTCTTCAGAGTTTCAAACCAGAAGGAATTGATGGTCCAATAGATTCGCAAGGAGCATGAAGGGGGTAGTATGGGACCTCTCTTTTAGAAGGAACATGCAAGATTGGGAGATTTCGGAGCTCCAAAATTTGTTGGCACTGCTATACGGGCAAGACAAGCCCCATCCATCTTGCGATTCTTGGAGATGGGGGTTGTGTGGCGATGGTTTGTTCACCGTAAAGTCATTTTACCAGAGTATGTTGGCGAGAGAGGAGGCCACTTTTCCATACTCATCGATCTGGATTCCTAAGGCGCCCACGAAGGTGTGCTTTTTTGCGTGGCTAGCAACGAGGGGAGTGATCTTGACAGCTGAAAATCTGCGAAAGAGAGGAATTACACTTGTTGGTGCTACATGTGTAAAAGCTTAGGGGAAGAAGTTGATCATCTTTTGCTGCATTGTCCTGGGGTTTGTGGAGGGAAATCTTGAATCTTTTTGGTGTTCAATGGGTGATGCCAAACACTGTAAAGAAAATGCTATATAACTGGGCCGGTTTCCGTAGAAGAAGCAAGCAAAAAGCGTGGAAGTTCGCCCCGTTAGCTCTCATGTGGATAGTATGGGAGAGAGAAATAGGAGAGTTTTTGAGGGGATTGAGTCTCCGTTTTCACACCTTAAGAATAGTCTTTTATCTTTGATCTCTTTTTGGTGCACACATATAGCCCCTACGTGTGTAGAAGATTAGGCGTCTTTTGTAGAGAATCATGTTCTGATGCAAATTCTCTACTTTTTGGTATACTTCTTATATGCGGGAGTTTTTTCTCCCTTTTGATTAATACAATTTACCTTATAAAAAAAAAATCATCAGCAATTACTATCCACCATGGGACGTCATTTTATATTGTGTTGGTTAGCTTATCCATAACTACAGTGAACAAGTAGGGGTTGATGCCGATCGCCGGAACAAACCCCAGGCTACGAGGATCTCCTTTGTATCTCCTACTACTGTTCTCACGCTAATGACGACTCCTTCATACATGTTCTTTTTGGCATTTATATATATTTAAAATATGAATTCCTTTGTTCTCCAACACCCACTAAGAGCATTTCTTAGTACTATTATCATGTGATTTTTCCAGATCAATGAACACCATGTACAAAACTGCAGATCTTCCTTCCTCTCGCGATAAACTTCCATCAATCTCCTTAGCAAAATATAGCCTTCATTTTAGATCTACCGGGCATAAATCCAAATTGATTCTCTGTCATTCTTGTAATATCTACGCTTTATCACTCTTCGCTAGAGTTTCTTTGTATGTCTCATAACTTTAATGTCCTGATAGTTTGCACAACTTTGAATGTCTCCTTTGTTTTTATAAATTGGAATTAGGATGCTCTTTCTCCACTCGTTGGGCATCCTACTACTTCTTAGTATAACATTAAATAGCTTGCTAAGCCTTCTATTCCAACCTCTCCAAGACACTGCCAAACCTCAATGGAGATACCAACTGGAACACGAGCTTTTCTAATTCCCATATGTTTCATGGCATCCCTTACCTCGTATCCTTTACCTATGCTGGCCTAATTCTATGTGTGTAGCTAAAGTTTCTATTGTGCACATATGTTTGGAGACCTAGAATGTTATTATCATGGTTCAAGTTGAACAATTGATCAGTGTAGCCTTTGTTATCTCTCCTTGATCTCATTATCTCCTATCAACACTCGTTGAGAATCGTCTTTAATACGCTTCACCTGATTTAAGTCCTTCTCTTCTCTATCAATCGTGTTAGTTTAAACATCTCTTTTTTCCCTTCATGCGTTCCTAGCTTTTTGCACAAGCTATCTCGGGCTTCCTCTCGTGCTTTACTAATAGCTTTCTTAGCTTTTCTCTTAGCTCTCTTGTACTCTGCAAAGGTTCTCCACCTTCTGCTTTTGATAACTTCCTATAGCACTGTTTTTTAGCTCTAATAACTCTTTGCACCTCCTAATTCCGCCACAAATATTCATGATGCCGAGGTCCTACACCTTTAGAATTACCTAACACTTTGCTTGTTACTCTTTTAATGCAACCTGACATTTCCTCCATGGGATGTTCTGTCACCCTCCAAGTCCCTCCTCCCTCCTCCCTAGTTTTTCTTGAAAAGCTAACTGGTTAGCGTCCTTTAATGCCGACCACTGAGTTCTCGGTTGCTTGCAAGTTGTCTCCTTCCTCACTCTCCCCTTACACTTTATAGTTTACATCCAAGACCACCAACCTATGCTGTGTGGTCATCGCTTCTCCTGATATAACCTTATAGTCCTTACATGTGGTCCTATCACGCCTTTTAGTAAGAATAAGTTCCTGTTTTTTTTGTAGAGTCAGCTAAGTTTTCTACTTTCACATCACAAATGTGTAGTACTCGCAGCATGATTGTACTGAAATTCCCAAATTGCTCATATGTCAGCAGGTAGGACGATGGGAAACTCCTCAAAACAAACTGCCTCTTTTATAATAGTATTAACTTCTAACCATAGTAAGTGGAAGTTGCATATATTGCTTGCTTTAGTTGTGTTCTTATTTGTTTATTGTTTGACTGCTTAACAGGGGAGCCATGTTGGTCGATCATTGCTCATAGTGTTGACGATGTTGATAAATTCTTTAAAGAAACTGTTGAGAACAGGTTCGCATTGTGTTTCTGTTCTAACTTTCTCGAATCAACAAGACTCTTGTATTACATATAGTGGCATAAGTAATAGATTTGAAGTTGATATTTTGAGCATGTTTCCATTTTGCTCTTTATATATATATATATGTATATGTGTGTGTGTGTGTATATATATGTAGTGTGTGTGTGTGTTTGTGTGTGTATATATTATTTTTATTTTCCTTGGACACACATGTAGCTGCTGGTGTTCAAAGGTAAAAATGAGATCTTGCTTCTTGATGTTCAAATGCATGGAAGAATTACTTGAAACTTTTAAAGAACTGATTGGAGAATAGTTTCTATGTCAAAAATTATTTTGGCTAGTAGCATTGCAATTTGAGGGATTAAGGAAAATATGTGCGTCATAAAATGCAGAAAGTATGATTGTGGATATATATTCTGGCTTCATGGCTGTGCAACAGCCAGATTAACATCGTGTATTTTCAAAAATGGTCCTTGCAAATACATTTCAAACTAATTTTGAAGCTAAAATCTTGGAAGTGTAACATCTTGCGAATGAGGAAAGAAAAGAATGACTTTATACTCTCATGTGTTCACTGCTTTTTAGAACTAGCTTTTACTGGAAAGTCAAATGGACAGACATCATATTTTCTGGCTGTATTTGTTTTGAATCTGATTTCCCTTCTTCGAGAGCCTAATATATGTGATAAATTTGGTTCATTTCAGAACAAGTTTGTGAAATTACCTGACAATTATCTGATGATCTATTAGCAGCTATGCTTTTAGAGATCTTATGTGCTACCTGCAGTAGCATCGCTACTGTTCAACTACTGGGTGACTGGGGAAAGGAAGATGTCACAAAAGGCGAAGATGCAGAGACAAATGCTTTTGCGTCTAACTTCTGCTCTTCGTTTTTTGTGGTTAAGAATTGGTTCTTACTGGAGTACTTGGAATTTCTTTTACCTGTAACATAGAAGTAATCAAAGTTTGCCTTGGCGTAACTGGTAAAGTTGCTGCCATGTGATTAGGAGGTCACGGGTTCGAGTCGTGGAAATAGCCTCTTGCAGAAATGCATGGTAAGGTTTTGTACAATAGACTCTTGTGGTCCGGCCCTTCCCCGGACCCCGCGCATAGCGGGAGCTTAGTGCACCGGGCTGCCCTTTATAGGAGTAATCAAAGTTCGGTAACTGACTGGTGATTCTAGCTACTTTTTCTTGGCAAATGAGGAGACATATAACAGAGTGCATTTGATTTTCAATCCCTTTCGAGTTTTTTCTTTAAGCTTTGTCTTTTGGTGAAATGTTCTTCGTTGCTGAACTCCTATTCATGCTTTTAGGATTTCTACTTACAATGTATCATCTTTTTTTTTTTTTGAGAAGGTAACATTTGTATATATTAAAGAGGTTTGTACATAGGTTGTACTGAAAACCATATTTACAAGTGAGCAAAAGAGAGAAGAAACTGTTCTGCAGTCCTAGCAAGATTCTAGAATTTGTAGGATTGATATAGTATCTTCTATGTAAAGTTGTAAACCAGTTTACACCAAAAACAAAAAAGCAGAACACAATTTAGTTTGATCTTTTGCACTGAGTTGCAATGTATCATCTACTTTTAATCAATGATATATCATGTTACCTTCCAAAAGAACCTACAAATTATAGTTTTAAGAGTATATGCAGATATATATGCTTTCCCTTAAGTGTCCCACATTGGTGGAAGAAATGAATTGTTGTCTCCCTATATGGTCATGGACAATTCTCACCTCATGAATTAGCTTTTGGGATTAAGTTAAGCCCAAGGTCCATGTCTTGTCATGGTATAAGAGCCAGATCCATTCTTATTCTTGATTTACCCAATGTTGAGTCCCCATGTTATGTTATCCGTGCTCCAGTGGCGTGCGGGGGAATGTTAAGTATCCTAAATAGGGATGGAAATGGGCTGTTCTCTCCTTACATGCTCTTGGCAATCCTCAATTTATGAGCTAGCTTTTGGAGTTGAGTTAGGCCCAAGGTCCATTGTTTATTGGGTACAAAACAGTCAATGTTGTTGGTGGTGAAGCGTCCTTTTCCCTTTTCTTTTAGTTGTTTTGGTCCAGCAGGTGGCCTAAAAGGACTGAGGGGGTGACCACCCGACTCTTTGAACTCCAATTAACAGTCAGTTCCTGACCATCCATTGGAACCTCAATTATTTGTCATGCTGTCTATCCTTTGATTTTAAACAGCATGAAATAATATCTACCTTAATATATTTGTACTGATTATATGCTTAATATATTTGTACTGATAATCAAAGTAACATGCTTTTCTCCAAAGATGAGTTAATTTCCTTAAGAGGTGACCTCTTGGACACCTTGAAATACACATTAGGAGGTAAGGGCAACAAGTTATAGTAATAAATGAACTTATCAAAAAAAACGTTATAGTAATATATGTATATTACTACTTACTAGCGTATAATCTATATATTTATGCTATCTCATTGTCCAAACCTGTTAAAGTGTAGTGGTTATCTGTCTGGTTTATTCCAGCAAAGAGTTCTGCAATGTAATTAGCTCCAAGTATCGTGGATCTATTTAGATTTTTCTTGATATGATTACCGGAGATTCTCGGTGGTGCTGTGCTTCTACACGAGGTTTTTAAGGGAATGTTCACTTCCACGAATAAGAGGTTTTGGGTTTAGGCCTCGACCTTTTTTCTTCTTTCGTTCCCCCCCCTCTCTCTCTCTCTATATATATAATCTTTGTGATCGGATATCTAGGGCTTAAGCTTGTGGGTGAGTAAACCAGAGATCTGGCCATTGGTCAAGAGTTTCGTATTATTCAGTTTCAACTACAGATATTCCCGTCAGGCATGGGGATATAGTTTAACGAATAATGACTAAGTTTGCTAATGATTATTAGTGTATGAGTTTCTTATTTGATTTAATGTGAGCTGTTATTCCCAGTAGTTATGTAAATTCTTATACGTATAATTGGTGGTCTCTTCAGAGATGAAGGAATTGTTTTGAAAGACCTAACTTCAAAATGGGAACCCAGTGATCGGAGTGGAAAATGGCTAAAGTTGAAGCCTGAATATGTTCGAGCTGGCTCTGATTTGGATGTTCTTATTATTGGTTTGTACTGCTTATGGAAGGTTTCTGTTTCTGCTTTTTGTGCCAAGTATTCTCTCCAGGCTAACTTTACATTGTCAACAGGAGGCTACTATGGTTCTGGGCGCCATGGAGGAGAGGTGGAAGATTCCACCTTCTACATTACTTATTTGTTTGTCCATTTATTTGTTTATATTTTTATGAGTTAAACTCTAAATTTGCCATTGGATATTAGGTAGCTCAATTTCTGGTTGGCCTTGCAGAGCGTCCGGCTCCAAATACATATCCCAGAAGGTATATATATATGTTTTTGAAAAGAAAGAGTCGCCTTATCTTGTCAAATATTTATCTCTCTTTTGAAAAATAAGTTTGTTGAAGTTGAATGCGTGTGAAAATTTTGTCATTTCTTTTATGATTTTGCGAGTGGAACAAGAATTTTAGAAAATTCTTTGAAAAGCACCTGGAAATGACAGCTTCAAAAAACAGTTTTTGCAAATAAAGTTTCAAAAAACTTAAACAAATACCAACTTGAAGATTTATTTCACAAGTTCTGGAAAAAGAGTTCATGAACGGATGTCAGATGTTACAAAGTAACTATGTCATACAAGTTTTAGTGAGGAGAGTAGTGTTTTGGTCAATTTGTGTATGCACCAATATGTACTCTAGTTGAGATGCCTATTCTTCCAATCTCTACTTTGAAATGTTTGCTATTCTTAAGTATAGCAAGTCTTTAAATTGAAAGGTTGCAAAGACTTTAAGCAAATGTTAACTTGACAATAATCTTTTGCTAATTTTTATTAGAGGGTGATATGCATTTAAAAGAAACAAAATGTGTCTAAAAGAAACATAAGGATTGTTTCCTTTTTCTTAGTTTTACTTTTGAAGTGTTCCACATTAGTTGAGAGAATGGGTTTCTGATTATCTGTTTTTAGCCAAACTACTAGCTTCTGGAAGGAGGGTTATAGACTCATTCAGGTTGAGATGGACTCCCTAGTTTCTATACAAAAGCTGCACAATGGCTGGGCCAGAGGATCCACATTTCAATAGCAATCGTGAGAGATTTATCGCTGTGCATAAAATCCAACGACTCCGGGAAGAGAAATCAGTCAACCAGAAGTCTTTTTTCGGCAAACACATGTTTGCCGCAAGTAAAAAACCACTATCCGTTAGTGTTTTGCAAAAACCAACACCACCAGAAAGTAGATCAGAGCTCGGCAACCAACCTATAAAAAAATCTCCGACAGAAAAGGACGCACGCGCCCTCACGTGACGTCGGAAGAATTTCTCCGGCGAAGCTCCGACGTCCACCCGCCGGCGTGTGATTGTTTCCGGCCAGATTTTGGGAAAACTTCTTCAGGACAGTGTCTTCTCCTCGCAAATCCGAGCCTACCCATCCAATTTAAATCAAATTCTGACCACATTATAATGGCATTCGTATCAGAAGCCTTTAACTCACAATCCGTTGGATCCAATTCATTGGATCCAATCCAGATGGTTTCTTTACCGGATTATATTGAGTTCCTTCAGTACAAAGCATGTAAAATAGACATCTTCAGGGATAGCTTCTGTTGTTCAAACAGATAGTAGCGTGACTTGTGTCTCTCAATCAGCAACCTCTGAGTCTTGGGTCATTGATTCAGGTGCATCTGATCATATTTCTGGTAAAAATCTCTTTTCACTACTATTTCATGTTCTCAATCTCTCCCAACAGTCACAATGGCCAACGGGTTTGAAACCATGGCAACTGGAATAGGTCAAGCAAGTCCACTTCTTTCCTTACATTTAGATTCAGTTCTTTATGTTCCCGGTAGTCCTTTTAATCTCATAGCCGTTAGTCGCTTAGCCAAATCACTTAAATGCTCTGTTTTATTTCTTGATGACCTTGTTTTTATACAGGAACGTAGTACAGGGCGGATCATTGGTACCGGGCGTCAATGATATGGGCTTTATTACCTTGTCCTTGCAAAATCACATGGACTCACATCTTGTCTTCCTTCAACAACTTGTCCGTCACTGATTCACCAGATTTATTACATAAACGGTTGAGACATTCCAGTTTGTCAAAACTTCAGAAAATGGTATCTGGTTTATCTCACTTGCCCACCCTAGAGTGTAAGTCATGTCAGCTCGGTAAGCATACCCGCTCCATTTTCCTCGACGTCTTGATAATCGAGCAGAGTCACCTTTTACTTTGATCCATTCCGATGTTTGGGGTCCTAGTTGGGTCAGTTCTACCCTGGGATTCTGCTACTTTGTCAGTTTCATTGATGATTATTCCAGGTGCACTTGGATATTTTTGATGAAAAATCGATCCGAGTTTTCTATTTTCCAGACCTTCCACGCTTAAATTCAAAATCAATTTGGGGTTTCTATCCGCATATTTCGTAGTGATAATCCCTAGAGTATTTGTCTTCCCCATTTCAGCAGTTTATGAACTCTTATGGGATTATTCATCAAACATCTTGTTCGTACACATCCCAACAAAATGGGGTAGCTGAAAGAAAGAATAGACATCTTATTGAAACTCCTCGTACCCTCCTCATACAATCTCATGTTCCGTTGCGTTTGCGGGGGATGCAGTTGTTACATCTTGCTATCTTATTAATCATATGCCATTTTCAGCTATCCAGAATCAAGTTCCATTCTCTGTTCTGTTTTCCCACTTACCTTTGTTCTCTCTTCCACCCGTGTCTTTGGGAGCACGTGTTTTGTTCATAGCCTTACTCCAGGAAAAGATAAGTTAGCTCCTCGTGCACTTAAATGCGTATTTTTGGATTACTCGAGAACGCAAAAGGGATATCGATGCTATTCTCCTGATCTCCAGCGGTACCTTATGTTTGCTGATGTTACCTTCTTTGAAACCCAATCATACTTCACAGGTCTAGGTAATCACTTAGATATTTCTGAGGTGCTACCAGTTCCATTTTTTTGGAGATACAGTCACTATCTCCCATTCATCTTCCTCTGTAACTCCAGCTTCACCACCTACAGCTCCAGCTCCAGTTCCATTACCTATAGCTCAAGTTCCACCACCTATAGCTCCAGTTCCACCGCCTAGTCAAGTTCAACCTTCTACAGCTCCACTACTCCTGACTTATCATCGTCGTCCACGCCCAGCATCAGGCCCAACTGAAAAACGTCCTGCACCTGACCCTGCTAATACTGCGGACTTGTCTCCTCTTAGTCAACCGATTGCACTCCGGAAAGGTATACAGACCACACTTAATCCTAATCCCCATTATGTCGGTTTAAGTTACCATCGTCTGTCATCACCCCATTGTGCATTTGTAACATCTTTGTCCTCTGTTTCCATCCCTAAGTCTATAGGTGAAACACTGTATCATCCAGGGTGGCGACATGCTGTGATTGACGAGATGTCTGCTTTACATACGAGTGGTACTTGGGAGCTTGTTCCTCTTCCTTCGGGTAAATCGATTGTTGGTTGTCGTTGGGTGTATGCAGTCGAAGTTGGTCCTGATGGCCAGGTTGATCGACTTAAGGCTCATCTTGTTGCCAAAGGGTATACTCAGATATTTGGACTCGATTACAGTGATACTTTCTCTCCCGTGGCTAAAATAGCTTCAGTCTGCCTTTTTCTATCCATGGCTGCTGTTCGCCATTGGCCTCTCTATCAGTTGGACATTAAGAATGCTTTTCTTCACGTTGACCTTGAGGATAAGGTTTATATGGAGCAACCACCTGGTTTTGTTGCTCAGGGGGAGTCTAGTGGCCTTGTATGTCGGTTGCAGTTGTCCGCATTCTTCGATATATAAAATCAGCTCCAGGTAAAGGATTATTGTTTGAAGATCGAGGTCATGAGCAAATTGTTGGGTACTCAGATGCTGACTGGGCATGATCACCTTCTGATAGACGTTCTATGTCTGGATATTGTATTTTAGTAGGAGGTAATTTGGTGTTTTGGAAGAGCAAGAAACAGAATGTGGTTGCTCGGTCTAGTGCAGAAGCAGAATATCGAGCAATGGCTGTAACATGTGAGCTAGTTTGGATCAAACATTTGCTTAATGAGTTGAAATATGGTGAGGTCAGCAAGATGAAACTTGTGTGTGATAACCAAGCTGCCCTTCATATTGCATCAAATCCGGTGTTCCATGAGAGAACTAAACACCTTGAGGTTGACTGTCACTTCGTCAGAGAAAAGATACTCTTAGGAGATATTGCTACAAAGTTTGTGAAGTCAAATGATCAGCTTGCAGATATTTTCACCAAGTCCCTTACTGGTCCTCGTATTAGTTACATATGTAACTAGCTCGGTACATATGATTTGTATGCACCGGCTTGAGGGGGAGTGTTAGATAGTTATGTACATAATATGAATTAGTCCTAGTCTCACATAGAATAGGATTATGATATGTATTGTATAAATAGGGTTCATTGTATTATAATTAAACAGAATATCAATAATAGATTTTTCTCCCGTGCATTCTCACTGGGTTGTTGTCTCCTTATATAATTGGCAGTCCTCATCTTATGAACTAGCTTTTGAGGTTTCTTAACATGGTATCTGAGCTAGACCCATCCATATTCTTGGTTTACCAATTTTTGGGCCCCTATGTTATATAATCCACACACTAGACGTCCATTGCTGACCGTACAACAGAGTGTTAAGTGTTCCACATTGTTTAAGAGAATGGTTGTTGTCTTCTTATATGGTCTTGGAAAATTCTCACGTTATACTAGCTTTTGTCTTTTGAGACTGAGTTAGGTCTAAGATCCATTTCATTAGCAATACATATATAGTCTGTTATCTGTTAGACTTAATTCTTCTTTCCGTTATATAACTTCTCTAAAGAAATTTTTTGCTGTATATATTGGCTATTATAGTAACTGTAGTCCTATCAATAGAGTCATTTGTTGCATCATTGTGTTAATATCATGACTTACACCAGAGAGGAGACATAACCTATCATCTTGATCCTATTAATAAGTTTGTTTTCTTTGAACATCATTCCTTGGCTGTTAATAAGCATTCTTGGCAAAGTCAGGAGTAATTGTTGATTTAATGATTGGTAATGGAATTGTATGTTGCTTGAGATTTGACTTTTGACTGCTTCCGTAGATAAGTTGAGCTTGACTTCACCACTGATGTATAGTCGGTCTTGAGTAAGTGTTATACTCGATACTGCATCAGCTAGTTTAATTAGCCTTAGATTTCAGGAAAAGGAACATTTTTTTGAGCATTACAGTGTTATATCTTTGAACATTGAGTTTGAGATTATATCTAGCATGGAAAGCATCATATCTATATCTGACTTTCGTTCTGTGAAGTAATTCAGTGGGATTATGAGCCTTTTCAGTTTTCTGAAAGGTTTTCAACGTCTTTTAATAGTGAAAAGAGTTTAAATCATTTGGATTAGGATGACTGATGTGTATTTCCCTATACTGCAATACTCTGTGGATTCTGAATTTAGCATAATTTTGCAGGTTCATTTCTTTTTGCAGAGTGGGCACTGGAGTTTCTGATGAGGAACGTAATACTATAGTAACTCGATTAAAGCCCTATTTCAGGCAAGAATTCCGTCGATGTAGCTTGAGTTGGATATTGTTTTCTGTTGTACCTTTTGTTCTTGCACTATCCAAGAATGCTTTTCTTGCTTGTTGCACCTTATCTAGTGAAAAGAATTATAGTGTTTTACTTTTGGTGACTGTCAGAGTTGCAGAGGATACCAATTTCGGTAAAAGTGCTTTTGTTATCAGTGGACTTCTGGTTGGCCACCGACATTATTATCCACATTAATATTCTTTCAGATAAATGTTTGAAGATTTGGAAAATAAAAAAGAGAATTTTAAATGTCTATATAACATAGTCCATACGAAGCTGCATGGATCTTTGATTAGGCAGATTACTTTAGACAGAATACTCAGTTTGTTGCATATCGTGCTAATACTGGCGCATTCCTTTTGGCAGGAAGTATGAGTACCCGAAGCAGGCACCACCAGCTTTTTATCAAGTAACAAATAATGCAAAAGAGCGACCAGACGTGTGGGTTGAAAGTCCAGAGAAGTAGGCCACTTTGACGAATCTCACAATTGGTGTTAATCATGCAATTATGTATCTGACTCCTGTGTATCATTGCAGATCCATCATTGTTTCGATTACAAGTGACATTAGAACAATAAGAACTGAGGTACAGCTGGAGTAGAAGTCTTTCCTTCTCCATTTGTTAGCAATATATGCTTATTGCTCATATGATAGCAGTGAGAGTTGAAAGCCTGGGGAATTTGTTTTCTGTAATTTATTCTATTCAATTATTTACTCAATAGGTGCGTGAATTGATCAATTTATGAGACGCTTGAAATCCGCATCACTCTTATCTATTCCAGTATGCCTATTTCTCCAACGTGATGATGAAAGTTTGATCAGTAAAATTCATTTTCTGTTCTTTCCAGGTATTTGCTGCTCCATACAGCTTGAGATTTCCACGTATTGATCGAGTGAGATATGACAAGCCTTGGCATGAGTGTCTTGATGTGCAATGTTAGTGTCTTGTTACATTGGTTTTTGATGTCTATTTTTGCAACTTTGTCTGGTTTATTATGTTCCTTGATTCTATTCTCGTGTTCTACTTATAGCAGAATGTTTTGTTATTCCTGTCCCAGCATTTGTTGACCTGGTACATTCGAGCAATGGTACCACACAGAGGGAGGCAGATTATGGAATTGGGCAGGATCATGAACCAAAGGCCACCATTAGGTCGTCAAGAAAACGAGGGAAAAAGAATGTTTCTGCAGTTCCTTCTCATTTTGTTCAGACTGACGTGTCTCACATCAAGGGTGAAACCTCAATGTTCTCTAGCATGGTGTTCTGTATCCTCATCTATGATGTCAAAGCAAAAATATACTCTGGTTACTAAGCTGTCTTGTAGTTTTAACTGTAAGATGTACTTTGTAATTTTGGTCCTTTTTTTTGCTTTAGTCTGGTCAATGGGTCATATCATACGTGATGTTTGTATCATAGAACAGAGAATTTTGTCAGTTGTTTCTTAAGTTTATTCTGCCTTAAGAATGGATGGGAGAATTAGCTTTTGTGGCTCAACTTTTAGCTCTATGTGCTTATTGCATGTTATCTGTCAGTCGTATTACATGCTAACATATATTTAAATTATTTTAAGAAATATTTGTCACCTAAGTATAACAGATATCCTTGACGATACCAGATTTTGCTAATGTGCCTTCATCGCATACACTCGATTCCATGCACAAAATGGTGGTCGAGCATGGGGGTTCTTTCTCCATGAANCTCCCAGCTGCATGCATTGTTATTTAAAGCCACTGCGTTGTTGCTTGAAGCGATGAAGCGAGCGGTTATCCCTTCATTGGTGAAGCCATGCTCTTTAGAGAAGTTTGTGCTTCAACAATAGAGCATAAACTGATTCCAACGAGAATCAGTCACCTCTTTGAATCTCAACTTTCAGGAGTTAGATTAGTCATTAGTATCAACATTTAGTATATTTGATGTTGAAATAAGTTATTTTAGTTGCAATTTAACTTTTATTGTACTTAATTGATTGATATTTTTGATATTTTATCAAATTTCATGTAAATTGTGCACTTCACTCAACAGAAGCGTGCACTTCACTTCTCTCTTTCGCTCAAGCCTCATGTAGCTTGTTGCTTTTTTTTTGTGCTTTTCGCTTTAGAAAACACATGGTGTGTGGAGATAGAAAAGTTCATGTGAAAACCCATATCAGCTTTGGTCCACTATACATTACTAGGATTTGTTTTTGTTGTAAAAGCAGGTATCAAGTTTCAAGCTGCAAAACTTCATGGAGATGTTATTCACTGCTCTTGGCTCTTTGATTGCTGTCTGCAAAAGAGGCTCCTTCCTTTACAGCCAAAGTTAGTTTGCATTTCAGTTTTTCTCGTCTTGTTCTCTCTTCCTGTATTTGGATTTCCATGTGATCTGCGATTCCTTTGACTTTTCTTTCTTGACTCTTGCTGAAGGTATTTTCTTTTCCTTTCTGATTCAACAAAGAGAAAGTTGGAAGCAGAAGTGGATGAATATTCTGATTCTTTCTACTCTGACCTCAGCGTCAAAGACATTAGAAAGGTATACTTTGGTATAATTATCTGCTACAAAATATTATACGTATAGCTTCAGCATTAGGAGCAGTTACTATAAACTGTTTAGCAAGCAGCTGACTGCCTATCTTCTTTGATTATGTCCGTTTTATGTCTTTCTTATTTCAGCTTTTGAGCGACATAGAACACTCCGAATACTCCAAAACTGTTGAGTACTACAAGAAAAAGTACTGTCCCAAGGATAAATGGGCTCGATTTCATGGTTGCTGCATTTACTTTTTCATTCCAGAGCAGTGTTTGTGAGAATTTCTATCTTTTCTGTTTAATTGTGGAATTAGATTCTCTATTTGGGTATCAGTATGTCGATGTGGTTGTTNCTCCGAAGACTCCAAAACTGTTGAGTACTACAAGAAAAAGTACTGTCCCAAGGATAAATGGGCTCGATTTCATGGTTGCTGCATTTACTTTTTCATTCCAGAGCAGTGTTTGTGAGAATTTCTATCTTTTCTGTTTAATTGTGGAATTAGATTCTCTATTTGGGTATCAGTATGTCGATGTGGTTGTTATTTGGTAGAGGTTTAATGGCTCTGCTATGTGTTTCAGGAAATATTCAGATTGCAAGGCTTTAGTGGAACTCGCTACGAGAAGGATGAAAGTTGAAATTTCTGTGGGTGGTGGGAAAGTTGGTGGCAATCTTTGTCATGCTACCCATGTGGTGGTCATGTCTCTACCAGACTTTGATGTAAATTTCAATGAAGTTTTAAATAGGTAATTTACCTATCTACTTTATTTTGCAGAAAGTAAGATGATCACCTTTTATATTGAAACTTCAAAATCGGCATCCTAGTGGTTACCAACCTCTTTCATTTTGTAGACTTTGTGACTTGTAATTTTATCTCAAGTTGCAAAATAGATTTTATATCTAATAATTCTCTTGGGAAATTATGATAGTGAATGTTGGGCTGCTAAAGTCCGACATATCCACAAGATGAGTGTTGCATAGGTGCAGATGATGAGATAGATGTGCAGTGGTGCAAGACTAGATAAATTAAAATAACCACATCTGAGAGAAGGTGCAAGTAGCACACATTGAGGATAAAATGAGAGAAAATCGCTTGAGATGGTTTGATCATGTCATACATCGGCCTACAGATGACTGGTCTGTTGGTGTGAACTATGATGAGTGTAGGTGTTAAAAGGGGATGGGGTAGACCTAAAATCACATCGAAAGACCAAAAATTCTTGGAATCAATGTAGACTTGGTGAAAGATAGGACACAATGGAAGGAAAACAATTTCTTATCAAAAAAAAAATGGAAAGGAAAACAATTCCATATAGGTGATTTCTACTAGTTGGGAATAGGTTTTAGTTAGAGAAATTCTAGTATTATTATTATTATTACTATTATTTATATATGTTGACTTGTTGTTTGTTTTTATTTTATTAAGTATGATGATGACATGATTTGAGTTTAAATAGAGGAGGATTTATATAGCCGATCTCAACTTGTTTGGAACTGAGGCATAGTAGTTGTTGTTGAATAAAGGTAGTAAAACCCACCTGCAACATTAGTTAAATATGGTCCATCTACAACAACCGTTAGAATGTGTTGGTTAATATTCTTGTCTATGAAGATTGAAGATCATTGTTTTTATTATCGAGTAGCTTTGTCATGTCCCAAAAGATATATTGATTGTGAAGGTATAACACAATGTTCAGCTGGAAATCTTTCATGTAAACTTCTCCATTATTAGGCATATTTCTGTTGACTGTCTATTGATATTCCCATAGGTTAACTGGTGCAAAGTGGTTAAGTTATTATCCTCTTTGTGTATGTGCTAGTCAGATCAGTAGTAAGACTTGTTGAGACTTGAACCTCCATATCATTTTGTTCAGGTTATAGGTTATATGATACGTTTAAGATTATCACGAAATTTTAGAGCTCTGATGCGCTATATTAGTTCTTTTCACCAGATGCCAATAACTGCAAACAGTAGCTTGCCTGCATTACAGGGAGAACAAAGGAATGAGATCTAATTTTGTGTCCTTCCCTAGTCCATTTGGGCAACCCCATATCCTCTTCTGAACACAAGTCTGTCTATTTATATTTTTTTATGTCGAATGTCTGTATTTATATTACACTAATTTATGGCATTAATTTCATAGATCTATTTTTACTCCAATTTCGCTAAAGTGTAAATTATTTCACTTTCTTTTTTGGTGTTTTCACATGTTTTTGCTAAAGAGTAAATTGTTTCACTTTCTTTTTTGGTGTTTTCAAATGTTCTCCACTTTCTTTACCAACCTTTTTGTAACCGTTCTTTGCTTTTTGGATAGTTTCCCCTCTCCAAAGTAAGTGCGATCAACCTTCAAAATAAAATAAAAAAAAGGAAATGAATGTAATCCCTAGCTAAATCAGTACTTATTTCATTTCAATGAAATAAGTACTTTCTTTTCATGATGTAGAAAAAATATTTTCTTTTTCACAAAATGAGTACTTTCTTTTCATGTTGTAGAAAAAGTATTTTCTTTTGTTTCAACAAAGAGAGTACTTTCTTTTATGATGTAGAAAAAATATTTTCTCTTTTTACAAAATGAGTACTTTCTTTTTCTGTTGTAGAAAAAGTATTTTCTTTTGTTTCAACAAAGAGAGTACTTTCTTTTATGATGTAGAAAAAATATTTTCTCTTTTTACAAAATGAGTACTTTCTTTTTCTGTTGTAGAAAAAGTATTTTCTTTTATTTCAATAAAAAGAATATTTAAACAAAGAAGTGACTCCTGGCTCGTGAGTTAAAAATTATATTCATCCTTTCTTAAACATGTGTCAGACGTAAAATTTTCTTTTCCTTACTAATAAGAAAGTAAAAAACAAAAACATATGATCACCGCAACTGTTTCTCAAATACCCACCAATCTGTCTTTGTGCAAAAGATACAAAAGAGTTCTACAAAAGCGGATGGAAGAAATTATTCACGGGTCAGGTTTGAGCTAAATTATGGGTTGAGTTTGGGCTAGAAAAATAAATGGGTTTAGTTGGGTATCATTAATATATCTCATGCCCAACCCATTAAAACTTGGGCGGGTCAAATGGGTTTGGGCTGATTTTGACACCCCTAATCTTATGGAGTATATGGTGGGAAAGGAATAGGAGGTGTTTTGATGGAGAGAGGAAACAGATAGCAGTTGTAAAGTATAATTGTTTAGAAAATCTATTTCAATGGTGTAAGGAGAGGATAATAGAAGACTTCTATGATGTTTTAGACTTTTTAGATTCACTGAGATGAGTGTGCTATATGGTGGTTTATGTACTGTTGTAAATTTGTTTGTTTGCAGTACCATCTTGGTACTTGCCTTAACAATATTTATTACTTATCTTATCAAAAAATAAAATAAAAAATAACTGCAACTTGTGGTATTTCTCATATAGTTTCAAAGTATCCAAATCTCATATGAAAAATGAATTACTCTCAAGTCCGATTCAATGATGAAATGAAGAAGTTGACGCTTGATAAACTAAATGTAGAGTATCATGCAATATTTAATTTACTCAAAACCATGTAATTTTGTGTCTGCCAGCATACATTTTGATGACAGATGATGTTTTTCTTTTACTGAATGAGGATAAGAAATATGCTCTCGTTTTTTATTCTTGATAATTTCCTAATCTTTCATAGTTCAGTTTCTCAGAGGCAGAGAAGCATGTTTTGTACAATACAAAGCTGCACGTTGTCAGGGCAAGGTGGTTGGAGGATTCCTTTAAAGAGGACCAGAAGTTGCACGAGGATAGTTACAGCCTAAAGCCTAGCAATTTTCAAATGTCAATCTCAGAGAAGAGGTCAGTCATGTATTACTTATAGATCATGGTAAGGAGTTAGTGTATTTAATATTGGAGTTATTTCTCTTCATTTTTGTCTTCCATAATCGTGTGTGTGTTTTGTTGTTTGGGGGGGATGGTAGGTATGCCAACAGCCATACTTGAGGGAAGCTCCTTAGGTTGTTTTTTTTTCTTTTTTGATAAGGGAAGCTCCTTTGCTTGCTATGCAGATATGCTACCTTTTACCTACTAAATAACATGTAGGAAGATACTTCTTTCCAAAATATTTGTAGCTTCTCCCATTTTAAAATATGTTCTGTCGTCTTTCTTATGCGAGTAAAATTCCGATGTATAGTATGTGTCCTGCAGTTTTTGGATATGTATATTTTAGTTTTTGGAAAATGAATTAATCTTAATCCAATTTAGCTCCAAAATTGGTCAAAAAGGCAGCCGATAAGCGAAAAATATGGACAGATGAGTATAAAGGTAAGAATGAGACCCTCACATTTTATATGATAGAGTTTGACTATATACGGAGTAGAGTATAATTATAATGATAATAGTATAATGAAAATAAAGATTATATTAGTATAATAGGCAGTCGATACGTGAAAAATATGGATAGGAATGAGACTTTATATTATAGTGTTTGACTGTATGTGGAATAGAGGATTATAATATACGGAGTAGAGTATAATAATAATGATAATAGTATAATGCTGGTAAAGATTAATAAGAGATAATATACATGCAGCTGCTAGTGATGTTGATAAGAAACTACAGTAATTGCATCTGCCAATAGGAAGAAGTAATTGTATGGCGATAGAAAAATCCACGTTGGGTCTTACCAGCACTTGGGCGAGAATTGAAAAATACTTATAATTGGTATGCTTCTGTGGAAAGTTGCCTAAAGAACCAACTATTGGGAAGTAATATTGAGCTGTGGATAGTACGAGCCCTGAAATAAATTTTTGTTAGACGAAGGAATTTCTAGAGGATACTTTTTCCAATATAGGTAGATTTTGTGCCTGGAAATTGTGTGTCAAAAGTGAAAAAGGATGTAGGATATTTATCTCCATAACAAAGAGTCAATTAATTGAGAAATGCAGTCCTAGCAACGAGATTCCTGCTGCCAACTTACCTATCTTTTGTCCTATAATTTGTACATATTCATCTTCTCATACTTGAACTTACTAGCTTTGCTATAAAAAATATTTTCCCAGGAAAGCTAGAAATGCAGAACCTTCTGCTAGTAAATTCAAGCATGCATGAACTTCTTCTTTGCTGGCATTTGGTTGTGTTTAGCCAATTTACTCGGTGCCGATGTTTTCTCTGATTTAATAGACATGATAAGCTAAGAGGAAAAACCGTAAAGTGCAAAAGAGCATCTTCCCCTGATAATCACGGAGTACAAATCAAAGCAGAAGGAATTTCAGACCAGTGCCAAGCCATCACGCTACCTAAGGGGGATAGAAAGAGAAATAGATTAAGACCTACTGGTACTGCTACAGCAAAAGCAAAACCAGCAATCAACATGCCACGGAGAGTTAGACGCAAGGCCACAAATAGACGTGCTAAGATTCATGAAAATGAATCCGATGAAAGTGCCACTTCAGGTGAACACCTTCATAATGGTGAGAGTGACGGGGCTGCTGGGACTCGTGGAAGCCATGAAAATGTTGCAGAGCATGGCTCAGGAATTCAGAATAAGGATGTTGCAGATGATTTGGAATTGTCACCACATGGTGAAACATTTCTACAAGGCACTTCTGAATGCAGTAGGAGCCGTGAAAGATTGGACGAAGCTCACGAAACTTCATACGGAAGTGGAAATATTGCCAGTGGTAAGCTGGAAGACCCTGTTGATCCAGTCCAAGCTATGTTATTGCATATGATACCCCACCTGGATAGTAAGCCAAGCCAGAGTGTGGACAGTCTTGTAAAAGACGACAAACCAGAGGCAGATGCTAATCCTAGTCCTAAAAAGAAAAAGAAAGTTAGCTATAAAGACGTAGCTGGTGAATTGCTCAAAGATTGGTGAAACACTTTATATCATGTATATGATTTACGGCCACACAAATATCTAAGACTTTTTTTAGGTCACAAGTGTCAAAAGTTTAACTTTCTTTCTTAAACTTCATGCCTAGTCAAACAATGTTTCATAAGTTGGAACCATGGGAGTTTTTTTTTTTTTTTTTAAACTGAGAGCAGCTAATGGGCTGCGGTCACATGATATTTTTGTCTATGCATCTTCTCTTCCGATCCGAGAGACCTAGCTCTGGTGTCTTTGTATATAATCATTTATGCAAAGAAACTCTCTCATTTGCACAGACTTGATGCTGTAAAACAAAATAAATAAAAACCAAATCCCAGAAACTAGAGGTCGAAATCATGCTTTAATTAGCGAGGTACTTGTACCTCGATCGCTGAGCATCAACTATTGCGGCATAGTAAAGAATATTTCTAAAAAATAGTAAAGAATAAAAAGATCTGTTATTCAAGGTGAATAGAATGAATCACATACAGATTGTCTTAATGAAGCATAATGGAGTATCCTGTAACTGCTACCAAGAGTATGATGCTTGTTGAGACTAATGAATAGTTCCAGAAGCAATATACAGTAAACCTCACTATAGCAGTCATATCTATTCCGAAACTTTTTAGCTACTATAGTGAAGTATTATTATAAAGAATATATATTATAATATAATATGAAAAATTTGTTTCAAAGAAAATTTGACCGTTATAGTTAAGTGAAATTAAAGAGGATGGCTGTTATTAGTAGCGGAGCCACATTGAACCAAGGGGTGTCAAGTGACACCCCTTCACCGAAAAATTATACTATATTGCTAGATAATTTTTTATATTTTATGTATATTTACTATACGTCGACTCCCCTTGACTTTCGATATAACTAATTATTTATTTTTTAATACTCCTTGATAAAAATTCTAGCTCCGCCACTGACTGTTATATAAAGGTACGACCGTAACATCAATTATGATGTACAGAAATAACTTTCCCACTTTAAAGAAACAATCAGAATAGATATATGGGGTTTAGTGGGGAAAAACATCACGACCAGCACCTCTCTCCGGTTAAAAAGTTACTGCCCTTTGGAAAGAGAAAAAAAATGCACTGCTTTGGCAAACAATGAGGACTATTTGTGCTCCAAATCAAAAAATAGGAATACTTTTACATCTTGATCAAAGATAAGGGTCTATTTTGGACTTTTCTCACTTTTATGCGGTCTTTTAAACATCTCAATATCTTTTAAAAATATATATATGAGTTTTAATAATTTTATAGATAAATGGAAAGACATAAATTGAGATATGAGGAACACATTAAAAATGACAAATTGAGACTTAAGGAATACGTAAAACAAGCATAAAAACAAGGGTTGGTTGCGCAGGTTATCACTTGGTCATTCAGATGGAGCTTCTTTTTACATAAAAGCGCAAAAAAAAGAGAAGGAAAAACTAAAATTATTGTAAACTTTGCTGAAATCAAAGAACCAATAATACTATATTAGAAGACTTTATACGTATATAAATACATAAGCGCCGCTAAACGTGTCAATTATTTTATTTTAACATAACTAGAACAAGTATCCATTGATCGCTTTACACTATTTAAGAAGTGCGCTAATTAGACACGAGACCCTGAGACAAGTCAAATAATGAGATAAGTGCAATTCACACGTGGTTAACTTGAAAAAAGACACATGGATTTAGTAGCCAAATAGTCCGGAAAAAAAAATTTGAGCGAAAAATAAAGAAAAGAAAAGAAATTTGTCTTCTTCTATGATATTTTTTTCGTTCCTATACAATATTTGGAACTTATTTACCAAAATTATCTTAATTTTATATATTACCTACCTAAACAAGGTTTGCTTACAATTTATATCCATTGTTAGTGACTTAAATTATTGGATTTAGTTACACCTTTTTTTTCCCTCCTCTCCTCTTTCCTTATTTTTCTGCCGCTTTAGTTTCTTGTAAAATTAAGATGAAATCTTTTCAGAGCGATAAGGAAATGTAAAAAAAAATTTGCCGCCTTAATTGCTTTTAACAAAACTTGGCTCTATAAATTTTACAAGAATTTGCTTCCTTAATTGTCATCGTCATACACTGTTTGGTTTAAATTTGCTATTGTTTTGTTTTTCCGACATTTATTTAGTAAAATAGAATGTTATTTTTATTTTATTCTACCACTTACTAATGAAATTAAAAAAAACTTCTCGCGATAAATGATATTTTAAGTGACAGCAGCAACATATAAAATTGTATGGTACAATATCATACAAATTAAAAATAAATTTAGTACAAATTTGATATATTTATAACAACATATAAACTAAAAATAAATTTTATATAACTAATTATATAGTATAAAACTTATTTATAACTTATCTACAACTTTCATGCATTATTTTTACCCAGTTAAATATAACTATAACATCATACAACTTAAATATAATTTTCATACAAATTTTATATAATATGACTTTTATATGTATTTTGTATATGATTTGTATGTATTTTGTATGTGGTGTGTTCTTCTTCCTCTCTGAAATTTCAATCAAAACTTCCCCTCTTAATACAATTTTGATACATATCAATAACTTTATGTAAAAAGATAGTATTTGTAACTTAAATACAAATTTCATACAATAATTTATACATTATACAATTATTTTTCAACTTTATACAACATTCAAATAAAAAATATATATAACTACAATAGAATACAACTTAAATACAATTTACATACAATTATAATACAACTTTAATATAATTCTGTAAGTATATTGTATGTCATGTGTTCTTCTTCTTCTTCTTCTTCTTCTTCTTCGAGTTTCAATCTTAAATTTAGCCAAAATCAAGTCTAATCTTCACCAAATATCCTCAAAATTGAGATATAAGTTTCAAATAATATTTTTAATTATTTACAACAACACCCAATCTAAACAAATAAAAATTTTTGAAAACCCAAATTCGAATTCAAAGTTTCGAAACTATGTAATGGCTGTCAATGGTGGAGAGTCAAACACCTTCAAAATTTATTGATTGACAATTTTAATTCGAACACCAATGGTGCAACATGAAAAGAAATTGCTAAGTTAAAATTCTATAGTAAAACGATTGAAGTCTATTGATGAATTCATTAAAACTATATACAACATGAAAGGATAAAAAGTAGAGAACAACAAAGGAAGAAAAATTGGGAAAAGAATAGAGAAGGAGAGATAGAGAGACGGAAAGAGGGAGAGATAGAGAGACGGAAAGAGAGAGAGACAGAGAGAAAGAGCGCGCGCAAGTATAAATGGATGGGAAAATAACTGATATTTCTTATTCAATTCCTTATATAAATGGATACTCATTTAAAATTAATTTGTATATAATTGATAAATTGTATATAACCATATAATTAAGTTAAAACTTGATTGGGGAGAATAAATAAGTTTCCTATGTAATATAGATAGGTAAAAATCCCTTTCTTCTATCCAGCAATGAATCTAGACCCACAATATAGATATTTACTCTTCATCTCTTTCCACTACTAAAATCAGAACTAGCTACACTCATAAGTTATATACTCATTATTTTTCTTCCTCCCATCTTTTTTATTTTTATTTTTTTACACCACTTCTTTCTCCAGCCAGTCAAAGACTCCTAGACCACACGAGATTAATAACTTCTAGATTAAAACTAGCATAATATTTTAAGAAAAATTTATTTTTTATTTCTAGTTCCTTACACAAGAGAATAACCTTCTTTGTCCAAATATTACCCAAGTGCAGCGGCGGAGCCACCTTACACGAAGGGGTGTCAAATGATATCCCTTCACCGGAAAAATACACTGTGTAGGTAGGTAATTTTTTTTTATCTGTATATATATACACTATGTGTTGACTCTCCTTTCTAGTTAGCAAAAATGGGTTGAGCAACATTTTTTGTTTTTACATTTTGAGTTACACCAGCATAGCTCGCAAAATGTCAAGAGCCATCGCACTTTGCCATGGCATTTAGTAATGTTCATGCAATGCCCAAATTTTCTCTCTCTAAGCACCAACAGTGGTAATGATTTTTCCAACCATGGCTAATTTCAGCTAGGGGCATAGAGGGATGGCCTGAATTTCCAACCCAACTGCGTTAAATAGTTTCCCCAACCGTGGCCTCTAAAAGGCTCAAAAATGTAATTTTTCTTTTCTTAACTCCCCAAAGAGTAAGAGTTTCTTTCTTTCAAGGAGATATTAAGTCAAGATTATTCTACTGTCACGAACCTAGTTCCTCTCCGTAGAATGTCGTGATGGATATATATGCAGAATAAATATCGCTGCTCAACATATACAGTTTTTTTCAAAACCTGGTGATATCGAGTCACAAGCTCTACAACGGTATCATAGTCAACCCTATATAACTGTATCTAGTAGAAGAAGAAAAATATAAAAGTAGATAAAGGGTGACTCTGAGGCCTGCAGAAGCTGGCAGGTGTACCTTGAAGTTTCCACGCACGGACTCAACTCACCGATGCCTGGACTGGTAGGAGGTGTCTGGATCTGCACAAAATGATGTGCAGAAGCATATCATAAGTCCACAATGGTACCCAGTAAGTGCCAAGCCTAACCTCGGTAGAGTAGTGACGAGGTCAGATCAAGGCCCTACTGGAATAAATAAAAGACTGAACAAGTATAAGGCAGTGTAATAATAACAGTAATAAAATTGAAACAATGATTAGCATATCAAGGTTAGCTATACGGAACTAAATCAATTAGTGCAACACGGAGAAAATAATTAATAATATGCTAAGGAAATAATAACCAAAGACAAGTGCAACAATAAAAAAATGCCAACAAGAGTTACTACCGAGGTACCGCCTCGTAGTCTCAAATCACAAGAATAAATCACACTCTTTCCTTATATCATTGCGGGAGCCTTGCATTTTAGTTTTGAAAATTATTTTTCCGAAATAGCATCCCGCGTTTTAGCCCACCTTATCACACCATATGACTTCTAGCAGTTCCCCTACTAGCCACACATATCAAGCCCCACCTTATCTCACGTCATGCTTTTCAACCCCAAAACCTTATACCACTGCATGCGTATTAACATCACCACGTATCACAAATCGCACCTTAAGTGCCCAATATCACAACTTTTCAGATAAACCAAACAATAACAGGATTTTCACAGTAAAGAGCCCATGACCCAACCACAATGTACACAAGAGTCTCAACAATAACAACCAGAAATGAACA